CATAGAGATCCCGCCTTGATGATCGCGGCATACTCCCAGCCAGGTAAGTTTAATGGTAGACTGCTGCAAAGAGCCTCCCATTTCTTGCGCCGTATGTGCTATGGGCGCACATTGCAAATATCGGACAGCAGCCACTGGCCAGATGGACGCTTGTTGTCTTCTCCGGTCATCGATAAGCGTCCATCAATCCATCTAAGAACAGACAAAAGAAGAGGTTTAATTCATTATTTCAATTTTATTATTTTTTTTATATTTCATCATGAAAATAAAGAATATACATTTTGCTCCTAATTTTTCTAATGGAAGATGGATGCGTAGATGTTCCTGGAAGGGAAAATTGGTTGGGCGTTTCAAGAATTTCTCCTCACCTATTAAGTCTGATGCCTTGATCAGTAACTCCTTGTTGGAACTGTTTCATGAGAGGTCCATTCCATCCGGAAAAGGGTTTGAAATCATCAAAGTTTTTCACTGTGCTGTTACTCCAGTACCTGTGAAGAGAAATATGGTTGAGAGAATGATGAAAACCAACATACCAGAGAGGATTGAAATCTTCAGGGACAGCAGTATTGTTTATATCATAATCATCGCCTACAATTTTCTTCCATTCCCCTTCGCTTGTGTAGATTCCAACTAACTGCTTGCTTTCCTGTTCAAGTAAATAGTTAACAATGATATATGGCAAACGACAGTACTTTTGCTTTTGCAATAACAGCTTCAATGAATTTGACATTATCAGCAGCAGTAGCACTCCAATGGTCTGGTCGTACAACCTGTAGCAATCATATGAATGGAAGATGATTGAATAAGCCACTTACCTGTAGCCACCACTTATGGTATGTTAATCCACAACGCATAAGACCATCGTTCAGTTTTGTCACAAGATCTGCTGGATCCTTGGTCGGATCAGGTGTCACATAAATCATCGTTGTTAATCCAGCTATAATTCAGAAAAAAATTTATTTATTTTCATTTTACTGTTCTGCTTACCGTTGAGGGCATCCAAAGCATTGTGGCACAGATTCGTATCAAAGGTAGAAATGGGTCCAGCAGCTCTGTAAGTAACAAAGACAAGAAGTTAACAACAATTGAGATTTAATCAAACCTAAGAACTACAGCAGAATATCCATTCTGTTTGAGTCCTTTGGTTTGACTCTGAGTAGCTGGTTGACTGTAGTCACCGCTAAGCAGTTGAGCAGACTGTAATTATGAAATTATCGTTGGAGCACTGTTCATGCAATCATGATATCTTACCACAAGCGAGAAAGTACAAGCAATGAGAAGAAGCTTCAGCATGGTTTTAAAAAGTTTTTATCGTTCATTCGCCTTTTATATTAAACTATCTCTTTCAAATAATGCATATATCTTATCTATTGTTCAATTGATAACAATATATGAATATAACACCCAAAAATGATTTTTCAAGTTCCCATTTACGGTTTTGAAGTAAAAATGAATTCAAATGATCAAATCTCATAGGAGGAAGAAACTGCTGATGTGGTAGTGATGTTGCTTTGCTTTGCTGCTGATAGCAATAATACGTTTGCATATACAATACGTGTACTCATAGAGAAGTACGTGAAACGTACGTGAACGTCAGTTCACGTGAACTCATTCAAATGATTACGATCTCATTTTCATTGCATTCATACAGACACATGAAGATCGGTTGCATTCACAAACACCTTCATCTTCAACCATATATGGTAAATCAAATATATGAAATGACACATTATTATTAATAATGTTCAATGATTTACTCATTTACTCTATATCTACTTGAAGCTTCTGATGATTGACGAAATGAAAAGCCGAAACATATTGGGAAAGAAGGAGATGGAAAGAGATGGAGAAACTCAAAGCTTGTCTCCACCCCTTCGTTCAACTCCCAGGCTTTAGCCTTAGCATTCAACCCAGCTGAGCCAGCTGGTTGCCAGTCGACCCATCTGTTCTTCAAGCATTTCTCTCTCTCTTTTTCTCTCTGCTTCTCTCCCTCCTTTCTTTATTAACTATTCTCTTTCAAATTCTATCTTAAGGACCTCCCGGATATGTACTAAATGACTTTAAGCAAGGCAAACATCATGAAAAACACAGACCGTTCAAAGTGTTCTTTCTCTCTCTCTCTCTCTCTCTCTCTCGCACATACTTTGTGTTTTCAACCTTTCGTTAACTATACTAGCTATACGTTAACCATATCATATGAAATACTATGATAAACTCAGATCAAGTGGATGAGAAAAGAAGGAGGAGAGCAAAAGAGAGATGAAATATCTTTTTTTATGTCGTCCACTAGCCAACGGTTGAGAAGTTGAGCTATGACATCGTCATTTCCATTGTTTCGACGACAACCTTCGACATGTTCGAAATCCGAAGAGCTCTTCTGTCTCTTTCTTCCTCTCTACCTCTCTCTCTCTCTTTCTCTCTCTCTATCTCTCTGCTATTTCATTTTTCTTTGATATTCCCTCGGAAATATCTCTTTTCTTGAGGTTTCTCTTTGTCTCCCTCTCTATTTCGTCGTTAATTCTTTTGAAAAATTGTCAAAGTTGTTCTTGCTCTGTATCCGCTGAGCTTTCAAGTCATTTCAATAATGCAGTTTCGATTTCATTCTATTTACTCTTATGTCTGTCCTCTAGATGTCCAGAAGAAGATAAACAGGATATTGATTCATTCAGCCTCATAGCTCTGAAGCTTAATTTCCTTTCTTGGTTTGTATTGCATAACCTGATGAGGACAGAGTTTCTTTTCCTCCCCTCTTACCACCCAATGGATGTGTCTCGTCCATATAAGAGAGAGAAAGAGAGAGAGAAGGAGGGAGAGAGATAGAGAGAGAGTGAGAAAGAGACCGTTATTGTGCGAAACCACAAAAAACGTAATGGCTAACATCCAAGATTTCATTACACATGTGTCGTTTTTCACAATTTCCTTCCTTACTTTCCTTTTCTTTATTCGTCAGCTTCTTCTCTACATACACACATACACATACACGTACATACTCACATACACACACACACATCTTCACACACTCAGAGGATATGTATCGATTTTCCGTTAAGCATAAACACAATCCTTTTCTCATCATTTTGCTTTATGACTGAGCCCTTTGGGCCGTATTCACACGTCATTTTTCTTGGAAATATCTTCTCAAGTCATGTGCAAAGTGTATGTAGAAGGAAGTTCATAGAATATGCTCTCATAAAGTTGGTAGACAATGCACATGTGACCAAACGGTAGGACAATGCTCATGCAATGATGGTCACGTCAACTCATTGAGCAGTAAAAGAAAGAAAGGCGTATATGGAAGAAAGAGAGAGTGAGGATAAGAGTGCAAGAGGCTATGAGAGGGAGAGAGAGAGAGAGAGATGAAAGTAATGAGTTGATAATCACAAATCGTTTTTTTGATCCACAAAAGCTGTAGATGAACGGCCAAAAGTGAATAATTAATGAAGTCGGTTGGTCGTCTTCTCTTCTCTTGTTTCTCTTTCCACTTCTCCACGACGGATTGTCAAAGAAAGCATTCGAAGAACGTTTTTCGAGAAACTTTGGTCGCTTCGTAGCGGCGGCGGCGACGACGATGGAGGAGGAGGAGGAGACATCCTCTTAACCTATCATCTTTATCATTTTTCTTTCTCAACTTCAACATGAAAATGAGATTTGGCTACAAGATGTTTAATTAATTTGCTTCCTTATATCGATTTGCTTCTTCTTTTCTCCAAAAAGTATTCATTTTCCTTCGTCACAATTCCCACATTCTACTCTCTCCTTCTACCTCTCTTCGTCTTTCTCTCTCTCTCACTTCTCTCCTTCTCTCTTCAACATCACTTGTTACATGTTAATCTCTAACAGTACCCAAGCTCTCTCTCTCTCTTCCTTGTTCTGTTTAAAGCTTACACACACACACTCTCTCTCTCTCTCTCTACTTCTAATTTCAAAGATGGCAGTTCCTTTAAAAAATTAAAAAAAGGCCAAAACTTCAGTATAACTGCCCGCTCATTGTCATTCCCAGTAGATATTTCACAGTGCAATATCCATTTTGGGCAGAAAGAAAGAAAGAGAGAGAGAGAGAGAAAGGTAGAACGAGGAAGAGAGAGAGAGAGAGTGGAAAAGAAAGAGAAAACGACTCATAGAGAGAGAGGGAGGTATTGAAGCAATTTCCTCTGTGCCATTGTTCATATCTGCATCAGATCTTTGAAAAACAATCAAAATCCATCTTTTCCTAATATTTTTTCTTTTTTTTTCAGTATTTGTGTAAGAGGAGAGAAAGAAGAAAAAAAAGGAAAATTTGAATGGAAAACGGTGGTGTGGCAGTCAGTATGCGTTCCTTCAAAGGCGAGCCATTGTCTGTGAATCGTTTAAGACAGAATGAGCAGACGAATGATGTTATTTTAAGGTATTGTTTATAAAAAGTATATTTATAGAGAGAGAGAGAAAGCTACAGAGAGAGAGAGAGAGAGAGTGTGAGAGAAGAACCATTGACTTTCTAATGTATACATGAAGGAGGCCGTTGATGGAACCATCTACATCATCTGAGTTCTGTGAGCATTTGCCAGTTCCTTCAAAGCTCAATGGCAAGACGTCGAATGGAAACGTGGGAGAACCTAATGGCTATCAACAATACAACCCCAGGTAATCCTCTTATTTTCATTTTTCTCGTCTATCGTCATCACGAGAAGCATTTCAACAACGTTCTGCTTCATAGCCTTCAAAAGGCAGCAGCAGCAGTAGTAGTAGTAGTAGCAGTAGCACTGAGATTGTTGCAAATTGCATTTGGTGTCACAAAATTTTTTTTTTCTCCATTAAAAGGCTTATTCAGTAAACTTTTTCAGATTTTCTGACTGCACTGAGACCTATCCACCTCCTCCATCTGAATATATTCAGACAAATGCTCAATCAGGTGAAGGAGAAAAAGTGTTGATGGTTAATATTCTCAGTTTTCATACAAAATTAACTTTTTTCTTTCATTTTTTCAGTTTCATGGCATTCAAGATGAGAATGGCGGTGGTGGCGGAGAAGAGACGGACATCGATGATGAGATTGCTCAATCCTTTTCCAAAAACAGTGCAAGCTATCTTGTACCCTCAAAGAGTCAGGTGCTCTTCTTTCTCTCCAATTCTGGCAATTTCAAAATACAACACACAGGCTACGAGATGCAGGTTTGTCTTTGTCGTCTCCTTAATTAAATCTGTTAACTCTCTTTCTCACTCTCTCTTTCTCCCTTCTTTGTTAAATTAGAAATGAACTTTGGTCTGAAATAACTTCTGCTTTCCATGATTGACTCCCTTGCCCTCTCTTTCTCTTTGTGTCGCTTAAACTCTCTCTCTCTATATATATATCTCTCTGTTACTCATTCTCTCGTAGTCGATATGAAATCTACAAACTATAGAGAGTTCCTGACTTGGCACAAATCCAAAAATCAAAAGACTGGAAAGAGTTACTTGACCCTCATGATGACATATTAGGATATGCTTCAAATGATCTTACAAGTCTAAAATTTTAGAAGAAATAGAGAGAGAGGGGAAGGGTGAGAGGACATTCTCTGCAAAGGAAAGCAGCAGTTCCGTCCAAACACATAACTGACTTCATTTAAATTACTCTTGCCCTTGTAAGGTAAAAACTCATATTCGTTGCTCACACACACACATACACACAAGAAGGTTCCTAATCATTCAAAGCTCCTCTTTGAACATTCCGTTTTTCCTTTTTTCGTCAGAAAAATAAACGTTTGTTGCAACAAACCTCTGAATAGCCTGAGGGGTCTCATTTGCATATTGCCAAACATCCATCAAAACGAAAAAGAATATTCAAAGAAGACTTTCCCCTCTCTACATACACAGCCACACACATACACACAGACCATAAAACAGGACTTGATTGAGGAAACAGTATGTGTAATGACATGGAGGGGTTTGAAAGAAGTTTTGTTATCTCAGCTACAACCACAACTTTCTTTCCTTCCGAACTTATTCCATGAATGCTCAAAGTTCAAGTTGTAAAGCTTGTAATGTCCAAACAAGGTGATATAATTTGAAATTCCAATATTTCAAGTAACTCCACTTGACTCTTTTGCCTAAGCCAGGAGATCATTCATTCGCCTTCCGAATAACAGAGTTCAGCATTTTATATTTTTTATGAATGGCCAATTCCATCAACAGCGATTTTATGCTAATTTCGTCTTTCTTTGAACAAAAGCAAGTTTTTCTTCGTCTTCCCCTCATCATCTTTTCCGAATTTTGATGTATCTGCTTGTCCTAAGGGGGGGGAGGAGGAGGATGGGAGCAACCAATGAAAGGAAGAAGAAAACTTGCGAAATTTGTTGCTGATGGCTAGAAGAGCACGAAAGCTGTTAGAAGCTGAATCGCAGAGGAAAAACTTCTTTTGAGGGCAAAAAAAGTGTATCAGATGATGAAGAGGCGGAAGAAGCAGAAGCCCAAATATGTGTGCGTCTGTGTGTGTGTGCATGCTCAAAATCTGTTATGAATGTGAAAAACGAGGGAAACCATAAGTTGATTTGCATTGCATCTACGGTTCTGTTACTCTTCATAAGATGCTAAAGAGGGACAATCTCTCTCTCATCTCTTGCTCTTTCAATCTCTCGTTATTCTTACGATTAACGAGAAGAGCTGTCATCTTGCCTTCCCGGATATCATTTGTCTTGTTTTTGAGCTTTTTAAAGATTGTTCGAACATTCATTCATCCATTCATTCATTCATCTGTCTCGCCAATGTCCAGTAAACGAACCTATTTATGACAAGCAGTTGTCACATCACTTATTGACAACATTTAACCAAAGAAAAGAACTGAATTGCACCTTCACTTTTGGTCTGAGAAGGAAAAACGTAGTTGAGAGAGAGAGAGAGAGAGAGAGAGAGCTACAGAGAGAGAGAGAGAGAGAACAATGCAAAATAATTTGTTGTCCAATTGCTGTTGGCATAATCCTTTGGATAGTTTGGTGAGATACTCGTTAGGCATATTCCATATTCGTGCCTTCGTCGTCCCTCTCGCACCCCATGTTCCCACGGGATAATCATGTATATACATAAATATATATTTATGTGTATAAATATATATACATATATATATATATATTTTATATTATATATGTTATACATGTGTTGCCCGTTTACGAAGAATTATCTTTTCCGCTCCTAGATGCCATCATTCATCGACAATTCGCTTTTATCTTACAGCTTTCAAATTTTCATTTGAACAATGCCGACAACAATAACAACAACAAATAATTTTTCTTACTTGTCACCCGAATCTCATCAATTATTCATCCAATTTCTTTTGCAGATTACGGATTCAGCTGATTTTCCGTTGCTCGATGTTTGGGCTGAGCATGTTTGTTGCTCATCTCCTGTGTGGATAGTAGAATCATATGGTAAGCATGGAGAAACATGAACTCAATATGGCCTATGCTTCATCTCTGTTAAACATGATACAAAGAGCAACATAGTTTTCATTATCAGTTTCATGTTTCCAAAAACTAATTACCAAAGTTGACTATACACTTAAGGTCGTCGAGTGCTGATGCTGTCCGAGAATCGACCTCCATTCAATATATGCTCCATATTTCCGCCATTCATATCATCCATATTTGGTTATCGACGTCGAATATCAAACTCATTGTCAGTAGCTGATTGGAATGGCGATGTGATAGGATTTTTCTTGCCAGGCAAGTTGCGAGTTCAATGAAAAATGATCTGGTGGGGGGGGGGGGAGTAGATGGAATGCAAAGAACAACTTATATGTCATCGAAAGTCATGGACAAGAGATACCATGTAATTACATCAAAAGGCCATTTCAATGGAATCAAATGAGCTTTTGGCCATCATGATCCTCCATCTAATTTGTCATTTTTCTTCATCTCAACACTTTCTTGCCATCAAGTAATCTATCAAGGAATTGAAGACGAATTTCATCATTTGACGACATATACAAATTAACAATTTCAAAATGAATAAAGCAATTGGAGAGACCATAGCTTGTGGTAGTTAGCTCATCGCTAGCAAAACAATAGCCAAATTCATCAAAATACAAAGTTTTCTCTTCTTTTTAACTATTAATAACTATACGGAGATGAGAGAAGAGGAGAAGAGAGAAGCCAGCAAAGTATGAGAGAATGAGTATTAAAAATAATGCAACCGTTCTGAACGTCTACCAATCCTATCAACGAGGGAGAGATGAAGAGGCAGCAAGAGACTCAGCTTGAATTATGCACAAATAACTTTTATTACGTGCTCATTACTATTTGAAAATTGCTTCCATTTATAGTATTTCTATTAAACATTCTAGCATTTTAGGTGATCCGTTTCTGATACAAAACAACATGAGAGCAACAATCGCTAGATGTTCACGAACCGAACAGCAGGGGTATTCATTCACTGACACATATTTCTCAAAATTAAACGAACTAACCTTGCAGGGAGAACTGGAAATGTGTGCTGGAAGCGAATGGTCGTGAAATTGCTCGAATTGAATCTGGAAGAGTACGAATAGCTGCTGATGTGTCATTCCAATTAAAACTTCTTACCTTGACAGCATTAGCTCGAGCTATAGGCCGTCCACGTCCACACAATAGTTGTTTTCAATTTTCTCGTTGATTGATTGGTTACCGGTTGCTCATAAAGAACGCCAAATCACTGTAAATATCTATTTATATCATCTACTTAAATCATTCGCTTTGTTTGTTATCAAAACCTACTTCAAAGCAATCATACGTGATCTCAAGTGCCAAGTTCAAAACAGATTGTCTTATACTTAACAATCTTCAGATGAATTACTATCACTTTATAATAAATACTATTTGAACATTTAATTTGCTCAAAACAACGTCGGAACTTCAGGCGTCACCTCATTAGCATATTAGCTGAGCGCGAATTTTCATTCAAAATGCGCAGACTCTGCAAATCGGTTGTATTGTCAATGAACTTGTCGACAAAAGACGCCTCTGCCAAGAAAATAGTGTAAAATACGCAAATAAGAAGCGGGAAACTTCGAAGACCATATTGGGACAAGAAACAGTTTGTTGAGTTTAGAAAAGATTCATTCAAATAGGCTGACTATAAAAATGGGCCTAGAACACGTGTTTGTAAAAATATGAATTCGACTAAGTACAACCAGATCAGTTCACAAGTTGGCTAACAATCAGAAGTTATACATTTTTATGATTTTACTATGAATATTACAACGAGATCACAATAATTGAAAAACTGGAATAGCGAAGGAAAACTCGAGTTGATAAACTTTGAGGAAAATATGGCAGGAAGATCAGATATGAATTTATTAAATTGAAAACCTAAAGACTAGACGTTTCCTCTAAACCCACTGATGCAATCGTAATAACTAATTCCAGACAACGAATCAGAACAACTATGTCGTTCTTCACACAACTTTAGATATTACAAAGCATAATTTTAAAATAAATATCTTGAGGTAGTTAATGATATAATAGCTCTACCCGAACGTTAGAAAGAGAGAGAAAATCAAGAGAAACTAAAATCTTAAAAATGTTAAGCTCGAAATAAATAAATTAACTTTCTATACTAACTTGCGCTAAAACAAGTAACCTGTCATGAATCATCGATGTCCATCTGTCTCTCATCGTCACCAATCTACAACAACCATCGTTAGCACATGCATGTACATGTAATCACTCACCTCAGGACTTCTCAAAGCTTCTTCTTTATCGAAATAATCATCAGCTATAGGCTGCATAGCTACAGAGGGAGCGGTCCTAACACGCCTCAAGTTTTGAATGACATCAAACTTGATGGCATCGAGGAACTGGAAAACGAACTATATTACGCGACTATCACTCTACTAACCTCGGGAGTGTTCTGGTTATCCAGACGTTTGTTCAATTCAGGTCGCAAAGTATAATCAGGTCCAAAAAATGATAAATATTCTGTAAGTGCTGGGGTTATAGGACGTCCCATCATAGTGTACCCACCTGAATCTTTCGGTATCACATTATCGAGGCGTGTGCCAAGTAAAACTCCTGTCTCATTGGCCCAGCATCGGGCAACATTACGGAGGGTGTAGCCCCCACCACCCAGGACCAACATTGGTAGTCCTAGGTCTCTAACGAATCTTACGCATTCTGCGTGTCCATCAAACCTTCAATGAAGAGAGTATGATAAGAACGTTAAGGGTAAACTAACGATAAGTTGAAATTTCCTAATCTATCGCAACCCAATGAGTCTGACCCACATTGGAGAACAATAGCCTCAGGTTGGTAATTTTGTATAACTTCTTCTATTACAGGCTTAAATAAAAATAAGTAATCTGAAAAAAAGGATGATTATCTGTTGTGAACTCTTATGCTCACCAGGATCCTCAATTCCTCCTCCTAGAGGCACATTAACGGAAAAAAATCGCCCCTGGTCATGACCAATGTCATACATGTTTCCAGTACCAGGGAAGAACATCGATCCATATTTATGGAACGACACGGTCATTACCTTGAACGACAACGTTTATCAACATTCAAGAACTTAGATCGTACCCTATCAGTGAGTTCAAAAGCTTCTTGAACGCCATCGCCATGATGAATATCAATATCAATATACAAAACTCTGTAAGCAGAGTTTCAACCATGACGAACGAATGAGCAACAACCTCTTATGATATTTGAGCAACTCCAAAATAGCCAATACAATATCATTTACGTAACAGAAACCACTAGCTTCAGCCTATGAGTACCGGATGAAAGACTTGAATTGAAGGTTCAAAATTACTTTTTTGGCGTGATGTAATCCTCCGCTCCAATTTATGACAATATCTGCGGCTTTGTGATTCAGCCTATAGGAGGGTATGTAAGTGTTCCGTACAAACAGTTGACCAACCGTATTGCTCCTTCTATAGAGGCTCCTGAGTATATTGAACAGAACTCAAAAATGCCATCGAAGACAGGGCTGAAACAGATGAAACGGTCTGGCACACAGCATGAGTGCTTACCAATCTTCTCCGATATTGAACTGAGGGAAGTAGGATTCATTCTGTTTTGCACAACGCGGATTTATTCGTTCAAGAAAAGAAATGTAGTCGGGTGAGTGAAAACGGCTGAATAAGAAACTATAGAGGGGATGGAGAAAGCAAGCAATATACATCATATCCGCTTTGTTAGCTTTAGGTGAAAGACGCATTTCCATTTGGTTATGAAGGCCATAATGAACAACAAGATTATTACAGGCTGCCAGTCGTTGAGGTTTCATAGGATGTCGAGGACCTGAAAGAAGTTGCCGAAGGTTCGAGAAACAGTCAGCTTACCATAATGAAAGTTGCCAACATCCGGATGATAATAATAAGTAACAGATTTTTTGACGTTCTTTTCAATAAGATCAATATACTCTGGCTGGGCCATTGTGTTGAACTACAAGACATTCGTCTGCTGACAGTAAAAAGTTTCAAACATATGAGATAGTGACGTGTTGCGAGCACATTCATGGCAAATTGACAAAGTATGAAAATGGAATAATGCATTTATCAGTTTTGAATAAAGAAAAGCGTCCCAAACATATTCAGTTAATAGGAGACACCTCGTTAGATTAACGTAATCATAGCAAACCAAATAGACGACTAATACAGAATAGAGCTTCGCACACACACACACACACACACATAAACAAACGTGCACGTATCACTACAACTATGGAAGTCTCGTGCAAGGGGATTATACATAAGCGAGAAAATGAGATTGCATAGAATGAAAATGAGACCAACATCTCACAGCAAAGCATATTAAGGTTGGTAGAGTTGAGAAAAATAAATAAGACACACAAACATATATAAATAGGAAGGAAACAGGTGTGAGAAGGAGAGGAAATGATGATGACGACAAAAAAAGAAGAAGAAGTAGTAAAAGATCAGCTGGAGACTCGAAAACGAAACACCCGTAAACGCTTCAACGTACTCGTTTTCTTAAAACCAGAAAACATTTTGCCAAATGATAAAGACCTGTGGGGTTGGGATTAGAACAAAACTGAGCTGCGAAGGTTGTAAATCTGAGAGTTAAATTTAAATATACACGTGTAAAATTAAAAGTGAAATTACGGACTTTCGTCACAAGCAATAAGGGAACGCAACGCAGTGTGAGAAGGAGTTTATTCGTCCGCGACATCCTCAGAATGTGAATCGTTGAGCTCTCCCAGCAATTGGCCCAATGCATGACTGGACTCTAAACGTGATAAGGCTAACCAACAGATTTGACTTTCATGTCGTTTTAGTAAGCTGAAAACATTTCGAATTAGTTTTCCTGCACTGAGTGAGGATACTGACTGTCTTCCTTCTGCAGAGAACCGTGCGAGATTTCTCAAAATTAGGCAACTTGTCAATCGGATACTTTTAGTTACTGGACCCTCTGCTTCATCCTGGAATAGACTTGTATTGTATTTTTCAAAATAATAAGCATACGGTGATGTCGCGTGGTAAATAGTTGAACGCATGCCGACGGATAGCATCGATGGCTGCATGCTTAGAATATCCTGGATGAGGAGGAATATCTCGAGGGATATCCTTCTGATAGGGGGTTGGCTTAGAAGGTGCTACTCCATCTCGTCGTCTTTGCGAAGCTAAGCGCAACTGTGCTTCTTGGGTATGGTGATCCAAGAGGTGAGTAACAAGTGACCATCTACTCCTGGGAGTTCCATCGCAACCTGGCCATTTACAAGGTTGTTGCATATCAATCATGTGAGATTTCAAGCAATGGTTCAGTACTCCTTGAGAAGAACTGAATGTTGATCCGCAACCATCCCATTCACACATAAACTCGAGACCAGTATTCTATAAAAGCATGCTAATCTTGCGTTCCGAGCAATTCCTCACCTTAGGTTCTTGAGTGGTAGAATCGGCAGCAGCCTCAACTACAACCTTGCCATTAGCCTTAGGCTTGACAGGACTTTCTGCTTCTTTCTTCTCGTCGATGGGCGTGCTGCTCCTGGACGATTCATTGCTACTACGACTAAAAGGTAAGATTATTTCGGTAACGGAAACAACGAAACCTTCCGTTGATGCCGTTCAAAGGCTGTGGAGGTCCTTTCGTTAAGATTTGCTTCATAAGCGGATGAGAATTAACGGTAGAAGAAACATGATTAGAGCCACCGGAGACTATTCCAACCAGTCCTATGATCAAATAATTATTTAAATCCGGAACAGTGAAACTAACTGTGAGGCTTGATCAGACGAATACCCAGAACTACCATTGTAAGAGTACTTTCAACCATTCTGATTTGAATTTCAGGGAACATGGCTCTGATTCAGATATTAATAACAATTATGTTTCAAGAACTCACTTTAAAGTGTTCGTGAACGAAGCAAGACTACCACTCAAAGAATGAAACTGACTCCTCAAGTCGTCAACATATGCGGCATAGAGTTCTCCCCGAGGTGTGGAACTAGCATTATCTCCCACACAATTTGTGCGAATCCATTGCTCAGTTAGAGTTTCAATATACGTCTGAAATGGAAAGTTAGAATCGATGATGGGATAACTGAAAACCTTGTTTTCTGATGGAACAGGTCTAGGAGGTCCACCGATGTGAACAACTTGAGGAAGAGCTCTAGGGGTTCCAGGCATGGGTCTCTGAGGAGTCATTGGGTAGCCTTGTACATGTCCAGAATGGGGTGGTGCATGCATTGCAGGATGGCTATTGTAAGGAGTATGCACATTATGATTAGGTGTTCCCATTTGAACAGCCATCCCTGGTGGCCCATGATGACCAGGAGGACCGTGATGTCCTGGAGGTCCATGATGACCAGGTGGGCCATGAATAGCTTGTGGAACCATATGTCCCGGTGGACCATGATGTCCTCCTTGATGTCCTGGATGATGCATAGGATGAGCATGTTGAACTTGGTATCCTGGCTAAAAACAGAACCCACTAAGAAGCATCAAAAGGATCAAAAACTCACAGCAGTGTTTGGTTGATATTCAACAACTTTCATTCCGGCTAGACCGACTTGACCAAAGGTGACAGCTTCCATTGTAGCCATAGAAACTAGCTGCTGTACAAAACGTGGACGATCGGCGATAATATCACATGGCAGAGACCCCATTTCAGACAACTAAGTTAACATTTGAAAATTTGTAGTGGCTATGGGAATCCTACCTGATACAAGCATTCCAATGCGTAAACACACATCATAATATCTCTCACACACACGATGTCAAAGATACGATCAAACATATCAGCGGTCAGAAAGTCAAGAATAACTCCCTCATTAGCATCATTCAGACATAAACCAGTAAGAATCTCCAGTGAGCGTACCAGCTAGAAAAGGAGAATCTTAACGTTAGTTCTACTACAGGAATCACTCACCATGAACTTGTCATTGCTTTCCAAACCTTTCTTTATGATTCGAAGAAGGGCATAATCAGAATCTACGGTCATTCTCTGCCAGGTGAGGTTGATCTATAGATCAAGAACTAGATGAAGAAAGGAGAAAAGAAACTTACATCACACGCGATGTTCGACAAAGTATCCATAGCTGCTGTGAACAGAGGCACATATTTACAAGAAGCACATAGGAAGAGGAGCTTATATATGGGCCAACACTGGGTGAGACTCACTCTGTTGATAGGCTCAAAAGAGAAGTTTCGAATGATTGTTGCAATCTTAAGACAGGAAGGTGAAAACAAGCCACTTTGGAAGAACAAACCTGATTCAGTCTCCAAGAAATTGAATTTCTCACATCGTACTCAAGGTTAATTCCATGTAAAATTTCACCATCGGGGTCCTAAATAGTGTCAGAAGGTCTCATAGATCGTGAGAACGACAAACCAGCTTGATCTTCTGAGCTTCAGGAACAAACATTTTCAAAAACTCTTCTGAAGCTCCACAATTAGCCCAGAAACCCAGGAAGTCACGCTGAGTGTATCCTTTCCAGGTTGAATATAAATCAGATAAATCTGCAGACTCTGAAAACCGGAGATTAGGATAACATCAACTTTGATTTCCACTTACCATCATCAAAAATACCACAATGAGCGACCAACAATATGGGAATATGAGGAACATGGGAAAGCCTTAACAAACGGGGACCAGGGTGGGACAGCAGAGTGCACACGTTGATTCCGAAATCAACTTCGTTTGGCAGGCCACTCAAAAGTGAACGCATTACTCGAGAATAATCAGGCTCAGCATATTCTCTACGTATAGTTTCTATAAATGGCATTTTTAAATTGAGTTCCATGATCTTTAGCCCTACCAAAATGTTTCGACATACTTATGGGGCACTCATTTGTTGCAAAAGAGGAAGCTTGACGACCACGACTGCGAGAGATTTCACCATCTACTATCATTTCATCAATATCACCGATGGTTTCAAATTGTTCAAATTTAGATAAAAATCTGAATATACATAATAGGACAGGGAAAGTATAGGAAAGTACTACCTCATATACAAAAGCTTAATGGCATGGTCGCCTCCCATAACATCTTCTCCCACACCCAACATCTCAGCCACATCCGGCCATTTTTCTTGTTGAGAAACCTTACGAGAGAAAATGATAACAACAAAAAAAAAGAAAAAAACCTTCTGCCATCCACCTAAGCTCATAACGACATCATACATACGGAATAAATTAAGTTCGACTCCTTGGACGCAAGGCAGTTTTAACATGGCATTCCTGATTACTCAAGCATGTAAGCAAACCACAATTGATAATAGACCTACCATTTACGGCGATAAAAGTTTTTCAAACTTGAATAAAAATCAGTCATCTTTTTGAGTTTTTCAGGCGGATCCATGAGACTATCAACATAGTTCTCAAGTGCAGACTTTCTTTTCCGCTGCTCCATTTCGATTAAGAGAGGTGTAAAGACCCTGCAAAGAAGAAGCTACATCTTCTTCGAGAACACAACAGAGAGAAGGTTTGCAAAAAAGAATGAATAAGGTAAAGGTTAAGAGAAGGTGTATAGCGTGACAGACAGATATCAAACTTTGACAAAAAGGAAAACAAAAGATAAAAAGTATGATTAATTAGATGAAAACACATTTATGAGAGACGATTTGATTGAAAAATGAATTCAATGTAATGAAGCAAATTAGAAACTACGGAAATCTCCATAAGGCTAGAGAGACGCCACCAGTGGGATTCAAACACAAAAACAAGCGCCAATGAGAACAAACATTATGTGAACGCCACACACTTAGCTTAGCGCATAAAACATCTAAGCATTTTAATAATTTTCATGAAATTGATAAATGAAATTAATAAGCAATTCATAATTTCCGAAATCAACTTTGAAATTTAAAGCGCACAAGTGTTTTTGAACAGAGTACGCGTCGCATAGAGTCGCGTAGCGGCCAGCGGAGCGTCACTCATAGGGTTTGAATAAATCAAAGATTTCATGTCTTTTACCTTTTTTGGTACAGATAATTACTTTGAAAGGTAAAGCAGTGGTATGAATTCGGTTTTTTGCTTCGTTCAGTTTGCACTTTTGTTGTTTTTGTTCGCGCCTGATGATGTCGGCGGCGTGGGGCCGTCGTAGATAAGAGACCGAACAAGATCTACGAGCTGTGACTGTTAGTGACTTTGTCTGTAAAAGGATTTCTAGAGGAAACATAAATAAGAAAAAAAATTCATTGAATCTGTTTACTATAAATATTATGTTTAAGTTGAAATACAAGTAGTGTTAATTATTGTGTTGAAGCTGCTACTTCCTCAATAGTCGTCGTCTGAGGCTTAGGTTCTTCTTCTTTCTTCTCTTTCAGTGGGATGAAATAATCATCAAAAACTCCAAACGGCTTTTCAAAGGCTAAGACGATAAGGAAAGCCATGAAATATGAGACAAATACTGCTTCAAAGGTATGACGTAGCTAAAAAAGGACTATTTGCTTAAGTGGCTCGTTAGCAAACCATTTGAAGGAAAGATGAGAAGTGGAAGGGCTGCAGACGGGCGAAGTTATATATTTGCAACATAATTGGGTGAATGAGGTATGCTCCAAAAGTGATACGTGATAGAGGAAGGAAGAACTTCCACGATAAGAAAGTGTTCACGATACCTAGAAGCTTCGTATTGTAAACATTACTTGCTAACGTCTGCATACCTCCATTTCCGGACACACAAGCGAATGTAAGCCAGCAGAGAGCGAGAGCAAAAGACAAGCGGCCGAATACAGTGTATAGGAATCTCCAGATCTGTGATATGTCACCTGTTCGTGCATAAGGTTCAAGTCCAAATACGGAGAAGCATAGAAGTACTACGAATATGAACCAGCCAGAAATCAGTTGCATCTGATAAACCATAGCATACAGAGTACTAAACGGTCAACCAACCTTGGTGAGCTTTAATTCCAAATTCTTCTCAGAGTTTGTATAGATGTTGAGGAAGTATCCAAGTAGAATTCCAATAATGAAGGGTGCACATCTGATATATGGCCGTATGTAGACATCGTTCCAATAGGAATCGAGTTGTTCCACGCTGGAAATGAAGTTTACGAAAAAAGCAAAGGAAAAATGAAAACATCTGCAGTTTTGTGGTCAAAATGGGAGCCGGTGGATAGTCATTTGAATAGACTACAAACAATTTGATAGTCGTAGATATGAAGAGCAGCACAGCTGTCACTATGAGACCAAGGCGTTCGCTTCTAAACAATTTCCTTCTTCGGACAAACGCTCGTTTCCTAACCTTTTATTGTCCTGGGGCTCAGTCGGGCGAGGACGTATCTTTTTTGGAGTCGTTGACCCATCGGGAGACATCAAAGCCATCTCTTCAGTCCATTTTGGAGATTCAAAATACCTTCAAGAGTATTATAACTTTTTGTGTTTTCTCTTCTCTCGCTCACCAAGAGAAGGCGATGACCAGTGTGGGCAGAAGGAATATTTGGAATTGCATGTCATTAGCCAGATACCAAGTCCAGCCCATACACTGAAACTTCATTTTTGCTAGTCAACATCTTGCCGACTCACACATTCTTGATCTTGTAACAAGAAGTTGTTCAAATAAACGAAATTCGTCCAACCACTGACCGCACAACCCTGCAAATTCGATTTTCTTCCTTTTATAGAAACTCTTTTTTACCAATCTTTCGATTGGTCTCCAGAATGGACCCGAGGACACATAGGTGAAAAGTGTGACGTCGAAAAGCATAATTACGGCGTAGACGGGTGTTAGTCTGAGAGAAAAAAGTTTTGACAAGAGATTACGCAGTTACCTTGTATAACGTTTAATGAAATAAGCCAGCCATGGAAGAACACTTTTAGCTGTCTTGAGGGAATAGCGAATGAACACTCTTTTGAAGAACAGATAGCTCGACAAGAGACCACTAAAGGAAGACATTAAGAATCAGAGAAAGGACGTTCTTCTCACCTCAAGAAAAAGAAAGAATCGACAGCTAAAGGTGCTTGAACAATGAGTTGTGTGTAATACAATTTGGGGAAATTGATTAAAGTAGGAACCAAGTTGTCTGGAATGGTAGAGTCAGTCTGTGGTCACAAGAATCTCAAAACAACCTGTGGTCAAGCTTCGACCTATATAGTAATAGGTATGGCCCAAGATGATCCAACACATACTAAGGACACGGAGTCCATGCAAGCATTCAATTTCTCCCTTCAAGCTTAATCTTTAACAGAACCGATGTTGTCACTTGCCTTCTTTGGAGATGTGTCCAGGATGGTTTTACCATTCTCGTAAACGCTGTAGGCTAACATTGAACGGATGAACAAGCCTAGATGAAGAATATTGAGCAAAGTCCAATCTCAGCGGATATGTTACCTGACTCGTCTTTAATCTTATCCAGCTTCTTCTTCCGAGCATGTTTCTGTTTTGCAAATTCGTCATCTGCAGAGCACTTTTCCGTATCAGATGTGTCATCAGTAATGACAGGTAGTTCCGGTATAGGAACTAACTTTTGAAAGACGATGAGGTCATAACATGTTCCAAAAATCATCATGACAATAGTGAAGATCAAGAAATACCTTAAGATGCGGGTTATTAACATATCTACAAATGAACTTACAAGGCAAACATAGCCAGCTTGTTATTGCTCATAGCTGTCTCTTCATTTTCTCGTCGACATTCCACAGTTACATCACAAACAATTTCTACTCCAGCTACGCTCTCGGCAAGTTTAGCAGCTGTAACAAAACTGTTGTGAAGAGAAGAACTATAGAGCGTACCGAAAGTTAGCATTCGTGTTACATCATAGTCGGTGCAGGTGTCCGGAGCACAAACACCGAAATTTAAAAGTGGTAAAAGTTCGAAGCATTTGCCATTATCTTCTTCAACTGTTTCGTTTGTCTCACTAGAGTGAAAACAATTAATTAATTGTGATTAGAAGTTTCAAACTGACAAACAGTGAGCGTTCGGAGGCTTATTGTTTACAAAGCTTTTCAGAGGGTTTTTACTATCATAAGCTGCGATATGAGTCATGCAATACTGACCGTTCCAATATTGACTGCAATGAACTATTCGGAAAATTACGAGTCCATACCCTCATACCCTTGATTGTTCTTGACTACATGAACCTTTCTACATGTGTTCCACGATCCAATCCACAGATTGTTTCCTCCCAGAATACCTGATGGAATCTTACCCTGAGCATCTAATACTGAAGTAAGAAATTCCTCATGAAAAGCTTGCAGAAGTATAGACAAACCATCAAAAATCCATGTTCGTTCATTCCGTTTCTGTTTGTACAGCGGCGTACATTTACAATCTGTGCAGTTTTTAGTTTCCTCGACCATAGTAGCATATTCCAAAGCGGTGGAGCCCAAATGGAACATATCGGCAACACATGCTTAAACAAACCATTGATAGACAGAAAAGATAGTTCAATCAAAATATAAATATGCTAATGAGCTCCCGAGTGAGCGCCAAGCGTCTGTTCATCTCACGTGAACACGGAATTCAAATTTTCATTTCTTAAGTTGAGCGTGAGAAGAGCGGTTGCATGCAGGAACTCGTTCCCGCGAAAACAGTTTTTCGATTTTCAAATATTATAATATTATGTTTAGTTTCTTTATAGAATTCGTCAAGTTCTCGATAGTATCTCAAGCGCAATGTCAAACGAAAAAATGATAAGATTAGGCTCATCTGCGAATGGTATTTCCTTGAAATTTTACGAATGTAGGTGAGAAGTGTATAGCTTAATCATACGTTTTTTTTCCAGCACAGTAGACAATGAAGCAACTTTCTCAATCTACTAATCCTAGTAAGCTGCCTAGATTACTGTTTCACGGTGTGTGCGTTGGAAAAGTGATAACGAGTGCAATGAGTTTCTAGCGATTTTCCGAGTGGAAAGAAAAATCTTAAGAAACTCCCGGCAGAAGTTAGTGATAAGAATGAGAGAAAATTAATGATTTATGCTTCTTTTCTTATTTGCCTAATGAAAACTAATCAAGAGTTGACAGGGTGAAAGGCTATATGAGGTAGGAAGTGACGAAAGCGAGAAAACGAAAGAGCAGAATGTCGAAATACCTGCTGAAATATCGAACGATCTCAATTTCTCCATTAGAAGCAGAACGTATTTCATGTATTCTACATTTCCTTCCTCCATACCCATACGATAAGCTTCAGCATAATTGAAAAAGTATTTGAAGAAGTCCAAGTCAAGAATGAGTTGACTATTGGAGTCTGCCATTAGTTGTGTGAAAATCGAACCCATGATCTGGAAGAGTTGAATATTCTGCCATTCTCTACCTTTTTTGTGTTTTATTTTATGTCTTTTTACAATCTATTTAACTATATAATAGTTTATAAGTGAGAAATGGGAAAATGAAGCTTTTACGATCTATAGGTATGATTGACAGTCTGAATGAGCTGTCAATTCATGGCATTGCTAAAACGTAAAACTTTGTCAAATGGCTTTTTTTGGAGAGGAAAAACTAGTAATTGATGAGATATTCCTTACTTCAACGTCATCTTCATCATAATCTTCTTCGGAACTGAACAAGCTCTCGACTGCATCTCTCTTCCTTCGTACTCTGGAATAGCCGTTGTTTTTGACGAAGTCTTTCGTCGCAGCTACAATGTCCTCATGTTTGTTTCCTGTCCATTTTACATCTAAACAAAACGAATTGAATGTTGAAACCAAAAAAATATCATAAAAATATCTTTATCGCGTTCTTCAACGCAGCCTAGTTTTGATGATTGTGAAAGCAAATTGGACTGTTCAAAGTACTCTAACGAAGTTCGTGCGATAGATCATGTTCTAGAGACTAGTGGGATAAGGCTCACCGTGAAAAGCCGGCGTTGAAGATGTTGGAAGCTGGAGAAACACCAGGAGCACTTGCAAGACAACGAGACTCGAAGCCAGCATCGCATTGTGGCCTATGCCCTTATCAGTCAATCATTGATAGACCTAAGCTCTTAAACTACTCAAACAATATACGACAAACATGAACAAAACTAGGCTTGGAAAAGTTAATTGAAAAACGGGATCAGTTTGAATAATTTATTGGATAACATTAGAAGAGTGAAATGGAAACTCAGTACAACAACTCGCGAAAACGGAAGAGACCAACGTGAAAAACAATAACATCAGACATAACCTCATTAATATTATTTCAAACAGCTAACGAGATTACATTGGAGGTGGTGGAGGAGGAACTGCAGGAGGACGAGATGGTGGTGGTGGAGGTGGGAAACCTGGAGTTGGTCGAGCACCATATTGTCCAGGAGGCACCATGTTGGGAGGATACCTAATAAAACATTTAGAATAAAATTTAAACTTATGACTCACCTTGATTGCATTTGAGGCATGGTAGGTGGAGGTGGAGGCATGTAACCTCGAGATGGTGGAGGAGGAGGTGGAGGGTTGGGAGCTCCAGCTTGAGGCGGTGGAGGAGGTAATCCTGCACCCCATTGTGCACCTGTTTAAGCAAACCAATAGAACTAACTTGAGGCAAAGTGAAATACCTGGTGGTGGAGGAGGTCGAGGAGTTAAAGAAGCAGATGGAACTGGTGGAGGGGGTGGAGGAGGCATGGGGTTTCCAGTTTGAGCAGTTTGAGGATAACCCATGGCCATTCCCAATGAGCCCATAGCCATTCCCATTCCTTGAACCATCGAAAGGCCAGGAACAATGCCCATTGCCAAGGCTTGCTGTGGAAGAAGTCCATATGTGGTTCTAGGAGTATCAGCGAACATCTATAATCAGCGGTATGAGAAAGGAAAAAACTAGCATTCCAACTTGATTAGGTCTGTCTTTAGGAATGAGAGGATTCTGAGCTGCAAGCATTCTTTCAGCTGCAGTTCCGTGACGTTCTCCCTTAGAATCTTTCTTGAACGCATACGAAACGGTGATGGCCCTATAAGAAATGGAAGTTACAAGACGCATAGAAGCAAGCTCTTACCTATTACATAAGAACTGTCCGTTCATAGCTTCCATGGCAGCATCAGAAGCTTCGAAAGAAGAGAAATTGACAAAAGCAAAACCTTTACTGCTTCCTGTCTCAGTATCACGCATAATTTTTGGAATCTGAATAGGATTATGAATACTACATCTACTCAATGCTTTCTCGAACCTGTAGAATAACACCGAAAGCACTGAATGTATCGAAGAGAAGTTTTTCGTCAACTTCTGGATCAAGATTACCTACGAACACGTTAGCACCTATATCCATATTCTTTTCATGAGCACTGGCTTTATTAACCTGGAAAGATAAGGTTCATACAAGTGACTGCCGGGAAGTAACGAACCTTAATAGGCTTTCCATACAATTTGATCATATTTAAGATTTTAATAGCATAATCCGCATCTTCTTCAGACAAGAATTCAACAAAACCGAATCTTAAACGATATAAGATGAATATCTGTTCGAGAGAAGCGAAAGCAACAAACCCTTGGTGGTTTCCTGTGACTCTGTCCTTTGGCATATTAACACTGGCCACAGGCCCAGCCTGGACCATCAGTTCCCATAGAGAACCTTCATTTACTTTTTCATCTAACCCTCCAACATAGATGGTTGCATCTTGAAGCAAAAGAATGTTGAAGTTATGTACTTTCACTTACCTTGATTCCTTTCAATTATAGGCCCCGAAGACATGAGCTGCTATATCGTTCTTGAAAACAAAGAGTTAGAAAATGCAAGACATAAACAAGAGCAAACAGAGCAAGTTCAGATATTCAAAGAGAGCTTAGAAACTCAGTTGAAGTTTGAAAATATGTAAAAAGAAAGAATTATGATGATATTTCTTGAGCATATCATCGAGATCATTCAAATTATATGCGTTCGCGTCTTTTGGAATAAACATCTACGAATGTACGCAATATACGTAATTACAAATATGTTAATTTTGCAAAATGAAATATTAGAATTATTGAAACTTCATGAACTTTTTGTGGAAAGAATCTCCATATTCATCCCATTGGCTTTTCGTAAGAAAGTTTGAATCGCAAAAACCCGTCGAGATAGCATCAACAGCACAGCTCCAAGCTTCCGTGATTGGATCTGCGACCTTGCTCAGCTCAGGCGCCCAAGTACTATCGACGAAACCAGAGAAATCAGTTAGACTAGAAATTCCAATTGAACATGATATGATACTGTTTTTGACATACAAACGTTCTCTCATTCCTGGGAACTTCATGGATCCTCCTATCAGTGCAACGTTCTGCGCTAATGCGGGGCGCAGATTTTCAGGAACTCTGCTCAAAGATTCCGCAGCCGCTTCAGCTATACCCATTTGATCGAGACCTAGGTCGGTTGGTCTGCAACAAAAGTTTGAAGAGAATGAATGCAACCGTTCTGTAGGTCTTTGTGTTAAAGGATGAAGCTTCTTCGATAGTTTTCTATTGGTAGTGCCTTACCTGAAGAGTGCTTCTGGCAAGCAAAACCTTTCATGATTGACACTTAATCCTTGTGAGTTATCTTTTTGAGCTGTGGGATCCCTCAAGTACCCACGTTGGTGAGTAGCATAATCAGGGAGGACATATTCTTTGCGAATTGTATTACGAAAATCTCTATGTCTAGAAAATTGAATTAGAAGTGATGAACGACATAGAGCTAAACTTGGATTTCTCCATATCTCGACAAAAGTTATTAGAGACAAAGCATGAGTCTTCCTTGCATTCGTTGATTACATAAGTTTCATCGAGAACATTGAGTTCTCGATACGATATCCACTCTTTCAACTGATTAGTGAGAGCTTTGCCTCCTATGTCTACACTACAAGTATATTTCATATCTTATGGCCATCCCTGTAGAATATCATACCGCATAATACCCGCACGAATAGGTCTCCCATCAACAAACGGTGCTATTGTGGTGAAAGAGAAGCCACAGTCTATAACTAGCACACAGCGTTTATTGAGATTATCTGGAGAATTTGCAATGAAACCAGCGGCTAAAATATCCAAAACAGTCTTTCAGTAGAGTGAAAACCACAACATACCGGAGTTTTTGTAAACAGACGCAAAACCAAAAACATCAAAGACTATTTCGTCTGATTGGTCTCTGATTGCTGGAATCAGGTAATTCGGATCGCTCATCGCAAATCTGTATTCAGAAGCATCCTTCGCATAGGGATTCAACGCTTTCTCCCATAGTTGCTGTTCGACATCCCAATTAACTAGAATTCAATAAAGGTCTTTCCATAAGCATTCTTCAGAAACTGACCAAGATAACCTTTCTCAAATGGCAAAACGAAGAACAAACTACTTTTGTCTAGACATTCGCTAATTTCGTCACCTACATAAACTCTTTTCCGTTCTTGTTTTGATTTGGTAATACAGTTAGGGATGAGTCTGAAGGATTCAAAGTTACATTAGATCTGACGATGCAGATCTTCTTACTTTGGTTGCGACTCTTTCGATGATCCTACTTTAATAGTATAAGCACCATTATCTAGAATGACACAATCCTGGGTCATTCTGAAGACATTTGAAATCTTTGGCACATCCACGAAATGAAGTAGAGATCTTCGTATAACGACGTACACAGTAAACACAATAACATATCGATATATTTATTGTCCAGCATGGAATACACAAGGAAAACAGTTTCAAATACTCCTGATGCGAAGCCTTCTTCGAAAAACAGCCTGAAAGAGAATTCGTGGTTTTCAAAGAGGAGTGCACTCATTCAAATTACATGCATTTGCGTCTTTTGAATCGGCAACTGTACGCAAAATACGCAATTAAAATGACAACCCTCGAAATTGAAATGAGTTTCGAAAATTCTAAGCAGGGTCTTCGTGCTTGTTCCCCAAGGCCTGAGCAAATCGAAGCTTGCAGATAGAATAACAATAGCTTAGTCGATAGATAGAAAGCCATTGTTTGATTGGAAGTTTGGCACCCATACCTCAACACAGCATTTCAGGTGATATAGCTCATACAAGAAGAAACTGAGTACAGTTATGCATGTTTATTATCACAGTCGACCTATATAAGCAGAAATAAAACGAATACCCATGTTAGGAAATTAATTCTCATGTTATGGCAACCCTAGCGATGATTTGTTTATGTCTATATCTACTGTTGATACTGGTTATCCCACAGCAAAGCATTTCCACCACCACGACGGATAATGTTTTCAAACTGATTGAACTGCGCATCCCTTTTCTCAACATCTTCTAGAGGCGTCCAGCTTCTGTCGTACTCGAGTCGAAAAGATCCCAAGTATTCAGAAGCTTTGTCGTCCGAACCCCACTCTTCGGGTGAGAGCATTGAGAAATATCTGAAAGAACTCCTTTGAGCATTCTTCATTCTTTGTTTTCTCTCTACTTTTCCGCCATTGGCCGCCCGTACAAGTGATAAACACGTCCAGGTACCTTCTGCATGTTACAAGCAACCCTGTGTAATTCCTCATCTCGAGCAGCCTCCGATAAAACTTGCTTGGCAGCCTATACATAAAGCCCAACATATGTCATAAAACGCTCTGTGAACTCTTACAACGTGAAGTTGCTCCATTTGCTGAGCAATCGAGCGCAGTCTATCGCAAGCCCTTCCTTTTACGAGGTCTCTGAACAAACGTACAATTCTGTGTGTTATTTGAGACATCGAAAAAACCTTGAAAAAGATATTTGCGAAGCTAAAGCGACTAAATCATCAGATCTGATTCTATCCGTCTCCCTCGCACTAACGATGTTCCTTTCTCCGAAATTTCGTGGTTGAACGAGGTTTACATCGACTAAAATACTGACGAATTACTTCTCGTCTCCCAAGTTTCTTTCGAATCAATATGGACTACAAATGAATTATTAGTGGGAAGCCCTGCGAGGTTTTCGATTTCGAAACCCCAGTAACCATAGTGTTCGTCAAGTTCAAAAAACGCGGATTATGGTAATTCCGTGAGAATCTATTTTCAATTCTCATTATTGAAATGGCTGTTTGCAAATCAAATTGGACAATCACTATCTTCGAAGTTCTCCTCAAGCGAGCGAAGAGGCTACGTGTCTCTTCAAAGAAGTTTCGACTTAAAGTATCAGCAGTGATAACAGACTAAAGCTTTCTGTCTGATGTGCGCCGCGCTCATATTGGGGCTAATATTGATTGAAAATTTTGCGGGGCTTTTTGCTAAAAGAACAAAAGAGCTGCAGATTAGTCCGAAAGCTGATTATAGTTGTGACATACCACTTCCAGAGTTAAGGGGAACTTGTACGCTCATGTCATTGTCACAGTCCATCTGCATTGTTGTTGAAGACACTCTGATGTTAACAGATATAAACTGTCAGTCAAGGATTAGTTGCCCAGATACGAAGAAAACACAAAGGAAAACAAATAATTTGGCTCGCAGGATACGATTTATTCTTACAGACAACATAAATTACGCCATTTATTATGATAAAACAAGGGAGTCTAATACTCTTCACCCTCTTCATAACCGGGCTCGTTGGAGTCAATTCCGACCTAGAAAACCAAAGATTAATATACTACATCCTTATATCCCAAGTAAGGGATATTATCTAATACAAACCTCTTCGTAGTCTTTCTCGAGAGCAGCGAGATCCTCACGGGCCTCAGAGAACTCTCCTTCCTCCATACCCTCTCCGACGTACCAGTGGACGAAGGCGCGCTTGGCGTACATAAGATCGAACTTATGGTCAAGACGAGACCAGGCCTCAGCGATGGCAGTGGTGTTGGAGAGCATGCAGACGGCTCTTGGGACCTTAGCCAAATCACCTTCTGGGACAACAGTTGGTGGTTGGTAGTTGATTCCGACCTACAAATAAGATTTGCATTATTTGCTTTCTATATCTTGAATTCTCACCTTGAATCCGGTTGGGCACCAGTCAACGAATTGGATGGATCTCTTGGTCTTAATGGTACCAATAGCTTGGTTAACATCCTTAGGAACGACATCTCCACGGTAGAGGAGGCATACAGCCATGTACTTTCCATTTCTGGGGTCGCACTTAACCATTTGGTTGCTTGGCTCGAAGCACATGTTGGTGATGTCTTGAACAGAGAGAGCTTCATGGTAAGCCTTATCAGAAGAGATGAGTGGCGAGTAAGTGGCCAATGGGAAGTGGATTCTTGGGTATGGAACAAGGTTAGTTTGGAATTCAGTCAAATCAACATTGAGGGCACCATCGAAGCGGAGAGAAGCAGTGATGGAAGAAACAACCTGAATATGGAAATTACATTTGTACAAACTAGATTTCTTACTTGAGAGATGATTCTGTTCAAGTTGGTGTAGCTTGGACGATCAACGTCAAGATTACGGCGGCAGATATCATAGATAGCCTCATTATCGACCATAAAGGCACAATCGGAATGCTCAAGAGTAGTGTGTGTAGTAAGGATAGAGTTGTAAGGCTCAACAACAGCGGTGGAAACCTAAATCAATTTGTATGTCTAAAGTAGTTCCTCAAATTTGCTCACCTGGGGAGCTGGGTAGATGGAGAACTCAAGCTTGCTCTTCTTTCCGTAGTCAACGGAAAGTCTTTCCATCAAAAGGGAGGTGAATCCAGATCCAGTTCCTCCTCCGAAGGAGTGGAAGATGAGGAATCCTTGGAGTCCAGTACAGTTGTCGGCAAGACGACGTACTCGGTCAAGAACAAGGTCGATGATTTCCTAAGCCGCATTAACATACAAAAAGAACGCATTACTAAAATTCCTACCTTTCCAACGGTGTAGTGTCCACGAGCGTAGTTGTTGGCGGCATCTTCTTTGCCAGTGATCATCTGCTCGGGGTGGAAGAGCTTGCTGTAAGTTCCGGTCTTGATCTCATCTAAAATTCAAGATTAATTAAAAATTCATAAAAATAATTACTTACCAACAACAGTTGGCTCAAGATCAATCATGATGGCTCTTGGAACATATCTTCCGTTTCCGGTCTCGGAGAAGAAAGTGGTGAAGGAGTCACCAGTTTCTTTGCTCTTTTCCTCTGGCATGGTACCATCGGGAGAGATTCCATGTTCCAGACAGTAAAGCTCCCAGCAGGCATTTCCAATTTGGACTCCGGCTTGGCCAATGTGGACGGAGATAACTTCTCTCATTTTCTAATGTTAACTGAAAAAATATTGAATATAACTAACATAGAAGAACGATTTCGAAATAAGAGACGCAGATGACTCATCGGGCCACGACAGCAAATATCGACTATTTTGAGAAAAACATGAAAACCAATAAAAAAATTGCCTAATAAGTAGAAAAATCACAGCAATAAGATAATCACCAATTACACTTTATGTAATACTACAGAAAGAGGATGGAATGGCTGATTGCGAGAACAAATGCAATGCATACTGAATTGTTGGTGGACGCCCGTCGAGTCATCACTTCGAATGCGCTCTCACCCGCTCGACTTTCGCGCCTTGCTGGCAAAACTACGAGGCAGCCCTTTATAACATTGCGCCTATAGCAATGTCAGCGAAATAGCAGTTTGGGTATACCGCGCAAAGAGGAAATTTTTGAAAATCTGGACAACCGCCAGTCTTTTTTAAACAACGTAGTTTGACCAAGCGTGCTGATGTTACGAACGGTTGAGAGCGTTTTCCGTTTTCGAAATGGAGCATATGGAAAACAGAAAGGAACATACAATTGAACGGAAAGTAGAAGGAAAGAAGGGAACGTTGATGATTCTGAAGTGTTAATTGACTACAGAGTCGTCAACATTCTATTCGGCTGTTATAAATTGTAATTGGGGTCATCGTATCAGTATCGCTATTGAATGATGAAGTCGTTAGATATTGAGTTGATGTTTCAATTACTAAAGAGTGTGCGTTGGAGTTTTTGAAATCGACAGTATGAAATCGAAGAGTATTAGCATTAGGTGTTATCTTTTTCTAATAGAAGGATGAGGGGTGCAATAGAGAAGCGATTACTTTGATCGTTCTCTGAACTTCACAGAAATTGGTCTGCCTCCTCCAGTTTACAATCTATCCGGTGATTGTTGACCTCGCCAATCACTGTGTGAAGATGGCTGATTAGATGATGGATTTTCAAGTTTGAAAGATTGCATTCAAGCGAACCTCCTTTGTTAAGAACTGTTTTTGTTCCTTGTTCTCCAGTGTGAAAGTGTATGTGCGATTACTTACTGAAGCAGTAGAACTAGCAGTAATGTTTGTGGAAGAGATGGAGAGGTAAGGAGAGAGACGACTGTTCAGTGCCTGTGAAAACCACATGACATTCATGTCTTGTTGTGCCCGAACCCGGCCATTGCATGTAGACCTGTTCTCTCGTCGTTTTATATATGTTGGATGACTTATTTTCATGTATAATACTTCAGAATCTCTTGTATCATATTTACCCCTTCTTCTGGAATTATAGTCCTCTGTGAGTGTTTTTGTTACAAATGGAAGTCTGTGGTATTTCTGACGATATGTCCGAGATCATGCCTACTCTCCCCCATCTACCAAATGAAATCGTTGATTATATCATCGGATGTCTCCCCTCTCACCAAGTTTGTCTTTGCCATTCTGCATGTTGCTATTAAATGTTTTTATTGTCTTTTTGATGTTAACGGTTCTGATTCAGATAGTTGGGTCGAGATGGTTCCATTTGAGCTCGGGCTTCAAAAGAATATTGGAATACCATATCAAACGTGCGAGCAACATTGATGCTTGTGAAACGGAATTGAAAGAGTTCTTTCAAAACACTCTGGATCATGGTACTTGAAGTTCTATGAGCTCTCCGCAAACGAAATGTTTCTAGACATTTCCGAGTTCCCGGAACAAAAACGCTATCTCGAACTGCTGATTTTTCGGCTTTTGGGTCATGCGAAGAGTTTCTCAACACCCATAGGACTACTATCTCATAGTACTTCGCTGTTACTCTTAACTCTTAAACAATTCGTTTGTTTATAGTAGTAACTTGCTTTGAAACTACCACAGGGCAGTTGTCTTTGAGAAATTTGTCGGAGCTTTCAATATTTATTGGGGAAGGCAACGGAATGTTAACATCGGCCAAACATTTCGATCGACTCAATGCAGCCGGGTATGTACTTTAATTTTTTTTGGCAATCGAACGTCCAATCTGTGATTTATGTGAGTCATCTTTAAGCTCCATTTTTGGAGGGAAATGCTTGGACACGATCAATCTTGATGTGACAATCTCGGAGAATGAAGCTGTCAGTGTATGTGGTTTCCGGGAGCTCATCAGGTTCTTGCAACAAGCGTCGTCTAACGACAAAAGTGAGTTCGAAAGGGGAATCAGATATGTTTTGTCTTTCATTATAGCAAAGTGGAATCTGCGTCTAATGGATCGCACTACTCTAGGGCAAGGTTGGTTCGGTCCCACTGACTTGTCAAAATCACGGAATAAGGTATTCAATCTCCGTCTTTCGAAAAAATGATGCAATTGTTAAGGCGTTTATTTGTTATGTCAGGGCTGTATTAGATTTGGGGATTTCTTTAAATAAACTTGCATTGTGTGACAATTGCAAGCCTTCACCATATATGTTGGTAATGGTTAGCTGCAAGCGACGGTCCATCTATATGTATCATGACTTTAAGGTACGGTTGATAAGAACACCAAAAATATTTTTAATTGTTTGTTTTGCCTTCTTTTAGAATTGTAAGGAACTCCAGATATGCTACGATATAGGTCTGATAGCCCCAGCGTTTGCTCACGAGGAAGAACGATATAAAACTTTGGAGAGAGTCGAAGTTCATGCATCACATGTTCTATACAAAAGTGACTTTTTGGTTTTTCTGTCTAATGCACCAGGTATGCCATGGTCTTCTCTTTTTTTTCTTATCTGCTACGATTGCGAAAGCTTATGCAGACCCCGGAGAACGATCATAATGTGAATGTTCTTTCTATTCAGCGGAACTTCAGTTTCGTTTTCTTTGCCAAAAAAGTGAAAACCGTCATTTCCGAAAGAGTAGTGGTCTTTCATCACTCATCTACTCCCTTTTTTGGATGGCGCAAAAAAAAAAAACAATGAACAGATGTTAAAATTACATCAACTCAGTGTTATCATATTAAATATTGTAACTGCTAAAATGGAAGTTGGAAAAAAAATTTTGGCATGACGCGAGGTTGAAAATAGCGCACCGAAGAATATATGATCAACCGCTCTTCACGTCACTCTATTTAGAAATGACTTATCACCCATGCGCGCGCACTTGAAAATGATGAAATTCATGTACTGGATCCCCGGAGGTCGATGAGCAACCTGATGAAATCTATCAATTGTCTCGCCTTTCAATAAGTGCTGTTATTTCAGGATTATCTGAAATCCGTGTGATACTTCCTGATAATTGGAGTCGCCGTGTATCTTCTTGCCGTCTCGGTTGTTTCCAAAATCCTGATTTTGCCTGTTTCAGGTTGGTGTTCTTTGCTTTCCTATTTTCCTTTCAATTTAAATTCATCCCGCTAATCACTAATTTTTGAAGAGTTCTCATTTACGATTAGAAACTGTATTGAAATTTGCCCGTCATTATCCATTCTACCTCTCATTTTTGATAAAAATGATCTAAGTTTGAAAGGAGTGATTAGGAAACAAAGCGATCTTTCACTTTATTATTGGAATTTAATCAGTAATTTCTTTTTTGATAAGACATTTCTTTGAGATACACAGATGCATTGAGAGTAGTAAGAATTGGTTAGACCAATTTGATACAGAAAATGCAGAAGAAGTTCATTTGTGCTGTTATAGGGAAGAGGGTTGGTGCGCGTTCCACGAGAAACTGAACGTCAACATGATATTCGTGTGAGGCGGGGGGAAGGAACTCGCTTAGCTTCTGCCGTCTTCATCTTCGCCGTACAGGTAGTTGTATCGTCGAAGACGTAGAAGGAGGAGGAGTAGCAGCAGGGATGATGGCAGGAACTTGTAAATATGTGTACAAATGCTGTCTATAAATGTATATATTTGTTCAATTTGTCACGATTATCTCTAAAAGAGTATCTAAGCTGTGTATACGTGTGTATGTGTATGTGTCACAACACAAAACCATACATATTGTCATTTCTGTACATTTGTTGTTTGAAAACGTGTTAAATTCTCATGTGTTCATGTTATATTCATATTCCGTTATTGCTAGTTTTTAGATGATTTCTCAACGTGTTATGCTGCATGTTTCGAGATATTATCGCGACACAGCTTCTTGTTGAAATCTCTTGTCGCGATCAGGACTAGTTTCTATTGTTTCTGCCATTTTTAATGAAGCGACATTTATTTTATACATATCTATATACATATATTATTTAATATATATATTTGTATCGGCTTTGCACATCTTCGTATTTACTTTGAAATAAACTGCACTTTGCTCTCGAGCTCTGGTCTTCCCCTTCCTTTACTTAGGGTACTAACGCGCGCGCGTCTCTCACTCATTCGGTTGGCGGAATGTTTTCATCCACAAACACACACACACACACACATACACATGCACACACTTACACCATCTTAATTATAGCATTTTGTTCTTTTTTAAGCACCTAGTGTGCGACGACGACGAGATAGTGTTTCATAGATAATTTTGGGACGGGACGTCTCTATCATGCCCCTATAGCGCTGGCCATCTCATATAATGCCGGGTGACGAAGGTCGTCCCCCGAGAGAAAGAGAAAGAGAACAAGGCATTTTTGTGTTCGCCAACATTTCATTACAACAGATAGTAATAGGTGTTTAAACAGTGCTCCTTATCTATTGATTGACAATCCTTATAGGGCGGGGAATCCTTTTTCAGGAGCCAGTGCTAGTGACAGGACGACCCCGGGGATTCCTTTACGCGTCCTAGTAATGTCTTCCTTTTCTTTTCTTTTTTTGTTTCTATGTTCTCACTTGATCAGTGCTCTTTCATCTTTGGAGAGTAAGTAGAGTGGCTCTTGTTTTTCCTTGTTTTAATGTGTGAATTCAATAACGAACCATTATTAATACGTGGATTAGAGATGAGCAGAATTCCTAATTTGGGAAAATGCTGAAGTCTCCATAATCTAGGATTGACATCTATTGTTGTCTCTCTCTTCGTTTTTTTGCTTCTATCTTTCCTCCTCATCCATTTGCAACTTGCACATGAAGTCATGCAATTGTCTGCAATTATTCCGACAGTTCAAACCTTCATCTTTAAATTGAATACTATCTGTTTGATCACATATTATACGGTTTTATCAGTCCCAACAGACTTTTTCCTTTTGTTTTCACTTATCAGCCCACGAGGTTAACGCGAAATCCCCCTCTGTGTGCGGGCCAGAATCTAGTGTACTTACTCTCCAACTTCTGAAAGTTTTTTGTTTTTACTCTCTCTTTCACTTTCTTCCTCCTCCATCATAAAAGTGTGTGTCGAAAATTGCTGATGACGTCTGGTAACCAGAAGCTGGGGAGGTCGGCTGTCGTTCCTTCAGTGTTTTGTGAGGTGCTACTGAAAATATGTCAGTTTGTTCTATCGCTTTCTCTTTCAATACTTTCTTAAACGCATATTCTCTCTCTCTCTCTCCCTCTCTCTTTGTCTCCATCGTTATACCTTCTAATAGCTCTTCCCTCCCTTCTTTCATATTTCGTTTTCCTTTTCATTTCTCTCATTTTTCTCTTTTAGATGTTTAAATCTCTCATTTTCCTATCCTACTTATATTTCTTTTCTCGTTCTCCAATGCGATCAATGAGCTCAGCTGTTCCACCACCTCCACTTGCTTTCTCTCACTCACTCCGCTCCTGCTTAAACTCATGATGCGCTTGATTTTCTTCTTCATCATCATCGCAAATGAACCTCCTTTACGTCAGCTTTTCTCATTTTTTTGCGTTAATCTCGTCTCGAGTTGTTTCTCATTCGAACTTCGATGTGTGTTTTTTCCATCTTTCCCCAAGTATTTCGTTCCTCTGTCCTTCTATTTCTCCATTTTAGACCACCGACGATGTGAAAAAAATGAGTGAAGGAGTTCGACCACCGTCAGTGTGCTTGTCCTTTTCTTCGTTAAAAGTTATGTTTAGTCGTCGGATTGTCCGGAAAATAGCAACAGCTTCAACCGGCGAAATGCTTTTTTTCTCGTTTTCTCTGCCATCTCTTGTTTTCTTTTGCATAGTTACATAAATATTTTTGAAAAAGCTCTCGTTGTCTCGCTTACTCTGTTTCTCTTCACACGCATGTTTTCTGCCTAGTGTTTTGCCTTGGGGCAGAAGCACCAAGTTCTTTCATCTCTTCATGTTCTTTCATTTTTTTTAAATTCAATTTTTTTTTTATTTCTGTCCTTCGCGCTTTTTTTTCCGGAGAACCTTCTGTCGTTTCTATTTGTCAGCTCTGTCGTAGTTGGCAGCTTGTGTGAAGAGAATATGTTTGTTGATGCTTGTTCAATTTGGATTTCCGGGCTAAACTTGGGCAAATATCAGTGATGCTGCGGCGCCAGCGGCGGCAGTTTTGATTTGCGCTTCTCCAGTGCATCAATCATAAGCTTGAATTTCTTTCTTCTGTCGGGGTCACTGAAGCTTTAATTAGAGTCTGACTGAGAGTGACAAACAGTGACCATGTTCTCAAAGAGAGAAGTAACCTGATTGTCTTGGTTATTGTGCTTCTTCCCTTCTTTTTATTCTTCTTGTTCTCGACGCCCCTGAATGGCAGACGCACCTACCGATAATCAGGACAGAAGCTTCTTTATGTTGTATCTCTTTCATTGTTCCTATTTCACATCATGACCAATCTATCTATAGTTGTTTGCGTGATGGGTAGTGGTAGCGCAGCAGTATGCAAACTGGTCCGGGAATCGTGGTCGGCCTTGTGACGCCCAGGCTCTCTGTATACCGCTTAGACGACTGTTCATGACGACTTTCATGTTCTCTTTGCGCATTGTGGTCAGCATTAGCTGCAGTGGCTGCTTCTTCTCTCTTTTCTGCCTTCTTTTTCTTAATCCTCCACATCTCTAATTATGTATCTTACCCGTAGCTCTACGTAGACGTCAACGTCTCATACGCATGTCCGTCCGTGTCAGCCCCGACCCCGCCCTGTCTCGAAAATCCACACGGGCGCGCATCGCCTTCACTTATCACGGGCAGGAAGCAAAAGTAGTTCTGATAGCTCCACAAATGGGGCCTTCGTCGTCCAACATTCTGACTGTTTTTTGATTCTCTCCAGAAGCGTTTTGTAATCACGTGTGACTGATGGTTTTCGTGTCAACCACAACGTAAATTATATCTGTGAAAAAAAACTTTTAGCTTTCTCATCAGTCCGTCAATCTATAAAATGACCGAAGATTGTTTCCATGTACGCTTTCTTTATATGGACATTCCATCCATACTTATAGTAGCCGCAGCAACAAACCATAGTCTGTATTGATTCCTTCTGTCCATCACCACCACCACCAGCAACTGTCATATTTGTGTTTTGTGAAAGTCTTCAGAAGAAGAAGAAGATGATGATGATGATGAAGAAGAAGAAGAAGAAGAAGTCCATCTGTATAAATTTGGAACATTTTTCGAATTTCCCATATCAATTCTCTCACCTTTGTACTGGAGGCCACATGACTATTCTGTATTTCATTTCATTAACCTTCGTCATTCTCCATCTGCTATTGTCTAGCTAAGACGTTCTTCCTTTTTTCTTTTTTTTTCTTCTTGCTTTCCTTTTTTTTCCCGGCTGCTTGTAACAATTAACTCATCATCTAATCCTCTCTTCTAATTTGGCCGCTTGTTCATTTCAAAACAAATGTTTTTCTTCTATTTTTAGTGCAAGTTTATTTAGTTTTGCGCAATCACCACATAGACACACACACACTGGAAATTTCCAGAAGAAACGTGATAAAGATTATTTCAGTTTTAATCGAATTCTCTAATATCCACTACAAAATCCATTTTGTTACTTCATTGTTTTTGTATGTGTATGTAATCGATTGTTTGTTTATTGCTAAACTAATGTTTTGATCGCTTTCACCTTGACAATGCTGTTGCTGCTGCTGCTGTGGCAGTCTGAGCGGAAGTGTTGAAAGCATTTCGTTTTGTCCCTTCTTTCCGATGACACATACTCACCAAATCCTTCTCTCGTTACTGCGCTTGCTGTTGTGTCTGTGGCTCATGATTGAGAGAGGAAAACAAAAAAAAGTTAAAACTCTTAGAAACTCAATAATGATAGAGGTGAAAGAAATGTTGAGATACAACCGCTCTCTACGCCTGACGTCAGCAAAATGATTGCGTCTCTCAGCTGCACGCGCGTAGATGTTCACGTGAGGTTGTCAATGCGAATGCGAACAGTTGCGATTCGATTTTATTGTGCTACAGCTGAATTATTGTTTTGTGTTTTCATTTAGAGTAGAAGCTTACAATTACAACTGATTCAATTGAGAGTACAAAACAGTTGTTCCACTACACTCATTCAAACATTCATTCACTCGCTCACTACTAGTATTGCTCTTTGCGACCAAATCGGAACCAGTTGAGCAGTTTAGACGATTAAATGAAATCATAACTCACCGTCTCTTATGCAACAAACTCTATTAGCAATTCAAAAATTTGATTTCTCTCTCTCTAAATCCATAACGCCAACCTTATATATTCAACCTGCCCATTTGGGGTATTGAGCTTCATTTCTTTTCCCGCCTACTGCTCACTCCCGCCAACTATCTTTCATAGTCCTTTTTGAATGTAATTCGTCGTCAACGCCTAACACTCGCAGACTAACAAAAACTCTCCGTTTCTTTTTTCCTTCTCTCTGTTTGAGTTGTTTCTGCTACTTCTTTTCATTCTACGTCGCTCGTTGTCGTCGCAGTTTCATCTTCAACCTCCACCCCAGCATTCATCCGACTTTCATCTTGCCACCATACTCGTGTGAAAATCTAAGCTCTTCTGTACCTTTGGTCTTATGATATTCGGTTGAAATGTTTACCAAATGCGGGATAGGTCAAACTCCCCACCCACACCAATTATCGATTGCAAATACAGAACTTTTTAATGAAATTTTATTAATGTGCTCCGTCCCTCTTTTTGATACTGATCGTCACTGTGCACAGTTGTCTCTGTTGCTGAAGCTCTCGTGAGCATGTATCCTTCAGCTGGTTACAGCTGTCGTCACGAAAAAATGTGGAATGTCTTAGAAAATATCTGCTGTTTGGTCTTAACTTGCTGCTATTATCTCTGTTAAATGTATTTTCTGAACATTACTTTGATATGTTTCTTTCGTATTTGTTGATCTGCGAATGATTTTCGCGTCGTTGAACAGAAGTGTCTTTCTGACTCGCCCTCCTCACTTGCTACTCCTGTTTCAAACTTTCGAATCTTTCCATCTTTTTTTTGTTCAAATTGTGTTTGTTTACTCCTCATTATTATACTTTGGAAGTACTGCAAATTGTACTGCTCTTCTTCTGCCTTCTGTACGTTGTTTACAGGAGGCGGGGCGTTCCACTTGTTCCTTCTCCCGCCAAGTATAATGTTTGCCTAAATTTGTGCTCTAAGATGCGTGAATATAGGAATCTAGCTGAATGTCCTTTTAGGACTGTCTTTTAAGAGTTTAGGTGAGAGGTATCTGATTAATTAAGACACATGAGTGCCGAGAGACCGTCATGAACTGTTGCTGATGCTGCTGTCAGCAATTAGTTGTGCTTTGCATTATCTTGACTCCAGCGATTGTCTGGTCTTCATTTATCTCTTTCTTTCTCTCTTTCTTCCTTCACGCTCTTCATTACCTTTGATCTTTGGAATTTCCTTATTGATGTCGTGATCGTAGGGTTCCTACAGCTAGTCACCGCCTCCTTTTACTCGTCTTCAACATCTTCATACCTTTCTCGCTTGTGACTTCATGCTTTGACTGACTGATAGAATTTCAGAGAACATTGGATGGCAGACGCGATAGTACCGACACTACATCAACTCTGTTCAGTACATTTCGCTAACATAATAGGAGATGGTCAGTTTTTCGTTTTCATTCTTCGATTTTGGAATAGAAATCTTTGAAATACTGTTTATCGCTTTATAGGCCGCGTTCCGTCTATTGATTGTCCATTGCCTACTCAGATCGGAGATGCCATATTCACAGCTCTACGCGACCAGGGCAAACTGAACGAAAAAACATTTGACTGCTTTACCAAAACTAATCTCCAGATCAGTAGGGTACGTTTTCATCTTTCAAAACTATTTGGCCTTCAAAAAAGTTCTTACGTAAGAGGTCACAAGAGTGTCATGTTGTGGCAGAATAATGATGAACTTGTCTTTTTCTCTTTCTAAACATAGTCCGCTACGCAGTCGTTTAATTTTATTGGTTCACAAAAAACTTGAGATTACAAATTTTGATCTTATAGTTCGACATATCAAGATGTGAATGCTTTGATCCTAATGCACTGGCTGGCATGTCAACCTATAACAAATTGGAAGTAGTCAATATATCTCATCAGAAATGCCCCAGCTCCCCAGGTTTTGAATGTAGCCACAGCTTCTCCTTCTCATCTCATTCTTGCAGAACGTGTGTGTGTGTTGAACCTTATGGAATTCGTGAAGAACTTACATCCAGATACATATGAAAAGCTTCGCTATCTGAACATTGGAGGCCTCGGTGGAGTAACCTGTGTTTTTGTCGTAAGATTTCTCGTTTCCGATAATTCACATACATTTTCACTTACAGTTGCGCAATTTCCCTAATTTGGAAAGTTTGATATTGAATAACAGGCCCATTTGCCAGCGTTGGCTCTCATACATGTCATCGTTTGTACCTAATTTAACCATGATTGATATCACTGGCACAATGGTCTCTGACATCACGTGGCTTAGGTGCTTTCCGTAAGTTGACTTTTCTTTTATGGTGATCGAGTGTTTTAAAACTTGGGGTTCTCAGTTGTCATGTGTTTCCATTTTTATTTCTTTTACTTGTGTTTCTGTCTTTTTCATCGTTTTGTCATGTCCTCTTTGTGTACGCGAGGTTGTCTCTGAACGTCATCACCGCTTTCAAAGCTTTCTTTCTTTCATTTTGATAAGAAGTGTCTTGTCCCGTTGGCAATGATAGTACTGATTTAGTGTGTTCAAACTAGTGAAACCTGCTATCCAGAGAGAAGGGAATCCGGAGGGGAACCCGGCTGATGTTGATTACATCAGAAAACGTACTTTTCTTGAGAATGTAATGTGACCATTTCTGGCTAACAGTCTCTTGTCAAGCTACACTCTCTTTGTCTCAATAGACGCACAGGACTGTTGCATTCAATTCCATTCCATTTCCTCTATCAAATTTTCTTGTCTTATTACTCAATTATTGCCGTCATATTGAGCATTAGGACAGGAACAAAAGGAAAATGCTAAAGTAGATGAGAGTAGTGTGACCAGAATGAAAAAGGAGAATTACCCCCACGTACGCAGCCAGTTTTGATAATGTTTGTAAACGATTCTCACTGATGAATTGCTTTCAGTAAATTGGAAGTTTTGATTATGCACAATGTGAAAGTTCGCACCGGATGTGTTCATCGGTCACTCTCAACTCTCCGTGCACTTCGAGTTCTCGATATCTCTAAGAAAGTCACAGATTTTGCCGGAGATGGGTGAGTACACACATTTGGTACAGTTTCTGCTGCAGAAATTGTTTCACTTTGTTACAATTTGGGACATTATGTGTTTCAGATCTCAAGAGTCATACACTGACTTGGCGCTTGCTGTAGTGGATATTCTGAATGATAATAAGGAATGCCCTTGGCCTGAGCTGCGATCAATCGACATTTCTGGAAATCCCTTAGCGGGTATGGGAATAGATCAAGCAATCGAAATGGTTGATACCATTATTCTACGTTGTCCGATGTTACAACGAGTTTCTGTTATGGGTATGTTTCTTTTCTTTTTTTTGTTTCATGGGCATCAGGACAAATGCTGATCGCCGGCATAGTTGGAGTCGGGGAACAATATGTGACCTTCACCATCTGCTTCCGTGTTACCTAATCATCTCTGAGGCGATTTAGGGGCTTAAGTCTAAAACTATTGTTTTCAGCGACTCCCCTCGATGGACATTCATATGTTACACCTGGAAATAGAAATGTAATGATTGTGAATTGTGCTAATAGGTTGAACGCGATGCAAGCTCTCATCCAATATTGGGATACTGATAGGTGAGGAATTGGTCCTCAGCTGGCCTTTACCTTGAGACAGAGTGATCTTTGACTATTTTAATTGCAGAGACGTATTCACATCACATGCACTGCATGCTGTTTATTATTGCTTACAAAGTTCGTATGACGATTTCAATGATTTAGAGGTAATGAGTTTGTTCTTTCCGTTGTACTGATTCTGATGTTAGGTGAAGAAGTGTGCACGTGTTGTTTGCAAAGCAATGAAGAGACATTTGGGTAATATTGGTGTCCAAATGGCAGGAAGTGCCTGTTTGTATCATCTCTGCAAGTAAGTCATCTCCCCCTCATCCTCTAAAATGCTTTGTCTTCAGAATGAAGCGTATTAGGAGACTTTCAATCTCTGAGGTTCAAGAATGTATGGAGCGTTGCTTGGATGCAGCTGAGACTTATCGCCAAATGGTTCAGGTTTGTCAGCCCTCGGCAATTTGTTAATTCGATCTTACCCCGTGTTTCTTATAGCTTCAAAAGAATGTGTGGTTAACTATTTGTAATGATTATCTGTTGCAATTGCCTGGTGTTGATTTCTATCGTACTTGTAAAGTAGCTCTGGAAAGCATGTTGTCTAGCCGTGACGCTTCGGTAGCCAGGTGAAAGGTGATATGTGTGAGCTTGTTAACTTGCTTATTTTTAGGATGACCATTGCTATCGTCTCGATCGTAACGCCAAAGATGCGTCCTCCCGAGGCTAAGGAATTGGTCGGCGATGAGCGATATGTACGACATCTAGTTCAGCTGTTGAATGATAATCTAAGTGCGTGCCTATTAAGAAAATTCCTCATTCAATTTTCTGGCTGGTTTCACTCATTCATTAAAAGATCTTCCATCCGAAGCAACTTAGTGAAATCAGTTAGCTTAATTGAAGAGAGCTTTGAGGGATTTGACTTATTTCTGATTTTCCAGGAACGCTGCTTAACACCCCTGGACCTCATGCTGAGAACTCTATTTTTACCTTAAAGTTCACTTTGAGTGCTCTGTGGAATCTGACAGGTACCTCTTTGATCTGATATGTAGTACATATGCACCGTTCAGATGAGTCTTCGACGACTTGTGAAGTCTTCTTTGACGCTGGAGGAGTATTAATATGTTTTGAAATCTTAGATATATTTGAAAATCATTCTAATATTCAAACGAAAGTTTTAGGAATATTAGTAAGTCTAGTCTTTCCCATATGAGTTCATCATGTCCTATTGCAGAACAATGTTGCCGAGGTTCCTTGCCTTCAAAAGGAGATTATAGAGAACGAACGATGGCTTCAAACATTGTGGTCAGTCTTTAGTAGCCAGCTAGTGCATTGCTGGTCTATCAAGATCAATCACTTACCTTCATATTTTCAGTGATTGTTTAGAAGGCGACTTCCGCAAGAGAGATGAAAGCGGAAGGAATCGCAGCGTCGAGCGGAGCTATTTCGCTGCCGGTGTTCTCTCAAATATTTTGGTCTGCCAAACATGGAATAATGTGAAAATCAGCAAGGTAGTGTTTTGAAAAGCAGGATCATGGATTCAAAGTTTATTTTAAGGTGTGGGTTAACGATTTACTCACTTCCGTAATCATGTCATGGCCGAATCTTCAGAACGCCATGGTCTCGTATAGGTAAGTTGCCAAAACAAGAACGCAAAATCAATCAACACTTCCAGATCTTTCTTACCTTTTGTCAGAATCTTATCAGAGACCAATTATAGTGGCGCTCAAATGTGGTGTTTGTGGGGAATCAACCACGTTCTAGCTCATAAAGAGAAGAACGCAGCTTCCATGGGGTATGCCTACATGTAGCATGAGCACCTCTAAGATCTCATCTTTCAGCTACCTCACAATGCTTCAGCAGTCAGATATTCCTGTTCATTGCATGAGTCTGAGCCGCAGCGAGATCACCCATCCATATGTTCGCGAGTTGTCATCTCAGATCGAGGCAGCTTGGTTGCGTGGTGCAGATATTGTGGGCTCCGAAGATGCGTCGTCATTGCATCTGAGTTTTGTACAGGCGGTTGCTTGAAGCGAGTTCTACGGTTAGACTTGCCATATTCTCTCATTCTAAGATATTACCTTGTTGTGCTTGCTTGTTTTCCGGTTTTTCCTCGGGTATGACGTTTTTTTCCAAATCAAATTGTTTTATTTACTCTTGTTAGAGTAACTTGCCGCTTTTTAACTGTGCGGTACTAACCAGATTTTTGTTGCTCAGCGATATATTTACACATCATTACGGGTTGTGTGCTATTGTTTTAAGCATTTGTAAATTTTAGTCTCTGTATCAAATCTGTATATAAGATTATATTGATATATGCATGTTTTTAGTAAGAATTGACAAAAAAGATATTGAACTTCCAAAAATCTCAAATTCTTTCGCTCTTTGTACAACGATATCATTATTGGGTAACTGCTTTCCTGTGTTGATATTTCATGCTGGTCTAAAAATCCTAAGGGCGTATCATTGAATACTTTCATTGTGATTCAATTATCAATAAATCTATTTCTGTACATAGAACGATATCTACTTAATTTAAGTTTGAACACAACAAACGCTCCAAAACGTTTAACTCGTTCGCTTCTATCAATCCTCGTAAGACAAGTGGTATGCGCGGTAGCCGCCCATAAAACTGGCTATAATCTGAAATCGAAAGATTTAGATCGCTCTAAGCTCCTGTTATGGTTATTGAGTTTAACAAAATTGTGTTTGCTGTTCAAATTTTCTTGAAATAACAGGAACAGTACCTCAACTACAAGCACAGCCATCGAACTTACTCCCAGATATTGCGAATCTTGAGAAATACGAGAACGAATCTGCTTCTCACAACCCTAATACGATATGCATTTCACGTTCATGAAACATTATAATTACCACTTTGTAATCGGGAGTAAAGCAATTCAAGTTTTTCAAAGCCTCGTTATTATTCTTGTAACTTCCATAATCCTCGTAACTGCGAACACCGCAACAGCTGAACTGCAATTGTAAGGCGTTTGTAACATAAATCATGAAGGAGCGTGTTTTTAATCTATTGACTGCTAGTAAGTAATTAGCATATTTAACATAACACGTGCCACGTGACTTCCTCGTAAAGTGCTCGTCGACATTCTACGTGGCTTTCACGTCAAATGGAAGTTCACGTAAGTTATACGTGAAGTTCATGTGCCATTTGCAACAATGTAATTAGACGAAACGGTTGCAATAGATTTACTTAACCAATATTGAATATTTGTATTTCAGGAATGACTTTAAACATATTTGATAATATGATTGTTTGATAACTTATTTCAATTCATGTGTAAGTGTTTGCTGCCAGAAGGGAAGACGAAGTAATTTGCAAAAAAAGTGGAAAAATTAATCCAGTTCGTACAAACATCTCAGGTGAAAAACAGTTGATACGTTTCGTTAATTACTTTGCTCTTCTTATTTTCAACTTTCGTCGAATGGCATTTCAAAACAATTAGTGCTCTAATTCAAACTTACGACTTTCTGCGTATGAAGCCAGAATTGAGAATCCGTGTCATCTGCTGGCTTATTGTTGTTGATTCTAGAAAGATGAGATGAATGCTATGCGAAACTGTCAACAGCAGTTGCAGAGAGAAACTTTTTTTTTTATTGCAAATTGTTGATATTTGTCTGCTAACTTTCACCTTTGTAATCGGATTATTCGCCGATCACATGTAGAATTTAGAGTTCAGTGAGAAGAAACGAAACAAACCCTTTGATTGTTTTGTTGAGGGACTCAAACAGAACATCATCATCAGCCAACGTCTTTATGGAATCCGAATATTGGAAAGCCAATAATCCATCAACCAATTGCACAATTATCATCAAAGCGATTATGCCACAGTACTGCAATTTCAAAATAGAAGTTTTCTTTTTTTTCGATTTAATTAATCATTGAACGTCAGCAAGATCAAATAACTATGTTGTGTTTCCAGATGGCGATCATATGCCCAAAAACACTCATTAGATCATGACGTCAAGTATGAAAAAGGAAAATTTCATATAATCCCAGTTACGATTTGGCGCCAAATGAACATCTCTATTATCCCCAGAATGGATCCAAACAGACTCGTATCAGGAGGGACTGTTTAAGGGTTTTAGAACTTTATGAATTTACGTTGTTCTTTGAGCTACTGATAAAGCCGGTAATGATCAGTTTGTCAAACGTTTATGTGTGTTGTATAACTACCGAAGCTGATGCTTTGGTGTGATCCGAAACTTACAGTTTTCAGCAGGAACTTGTTTTTACGGAAGGTTGCGAGAAGAGCCACGAAGAAGGAGAGCACTAAGACACCTGCAGCAGCAATGAAAAGTCCAAAAATCATGTCCAAACGTTCAAGTTGAAGAAAATCGTTATCCTGAAAACGAAATTGGACTTTCGTTAAATTCTCTATGTGTCTGAACCTTGCGGGCATAAGTTACGAAATCTCCGAAACCTCGACCGAACCGGAGGATAAATCCTCCTACCATGAGGCCACCACCGATGAGCTGTAATTATGGAAGGTACTTGATTTGTAATTTAGCATAACGTTCTCTCAATTGACTTCCTTTGCAGATGCTCAGACCGACGTGCATTGATAAGAATTTATTTTTACAGATTCTCTCAGGTGAATTGCCCACAGTAGGCGGTTACACCCAAGTTTTCAGAATTATCGAAATAATTATGATCGTTTCGAGTTGAATAGGTAATATAGAACACGTGCCTAGCTTATCAAGAAAGTCATAAACTCGTTCATAACACATTCCTCAGTTCCGCAAAGAAGCTAATTTCTTAAGAAGAATGTAACTCACGGCTGTACAAGCAGTAGCTAGCAGAAAGACGTTGTCTTGTTGGCCGATGTGCATTCTGAAGAAAAATGCGTGTGTTAGGAGAGTACTGTATAAGAAAGTTAAGAAATGGGAACATGTTAAGATCTATGGGAATCTGAAGAATTTAGCATGAGGCGAATAGAAGCTGATAGCGGTATGTGAAGTTACGAAATAGGAGGTTAGTGAGGATGTGCGGTCACTCAGTGAGGCTAGGATATCGGGTGAGTCAGCATGAGCTACTAGACTCGCCCGAGGTAGACTTTTGTGACTCGAAAAATGAAAATAATGAAAACGACTTTGATTATGAAATTAAAGAGTAAATCGAAATAAAAGATCATTCTACTATCGCATATATCTGAATAGACAAAAAAAGTCGTTAAATTAGACAGTTTACTGTCTTTATAGATATGAAGACAAGAAGCTCATTAGCGTTCAACGAATAACTCTAATCGCCCACTTTTAACTGCCGGAGTATATTTTGAGATTCTTCCCTCTAATGTTTGTTTTCCATAAATAGCAAGAGTAGGACTGGTGGTGAAACGTTGTGGAAGATTGGGTTAGCCTCTAGAGCATTTGCCAACTATATCTTGCTAGAGAGATGCACGAGAGGTACAGTAGAAGAAAAACATAGAAAGCTGCGGAAAAGGAAAATAGAAGAATGGAAACGGCTTATCTTCACCATTAAAATATTTTATGTCATCAAGAAGTTGTTTCTTTTTCATTTCTAGAATGCTTCTGTCCCATATAAATTTAGATATAACTACTTTTGTGCAAAACATTCGAATAAAACAATGATTGCACTCTTGACACTCACAGATTCCGTTTTTCTCGAATTATGAACAGATCGGTCCCTCCTGTCTGAGTTCGACACAAAAAATCCTGCTTTTTTTGAAATCTACTTGACGGACTTAGTAGAAGAATGGAGCAAAAGGACTTCTTGTCAATGCGTCTAACTTGCATCTAATCCTTTCTGCTTAGTATGGTAATCCATTGTTGGCAATTCTTCGATAATCTTTCTCCGTTTGTCACGACTAAAACGACGACGACCGATAGTAATGAAGCTGAAAATCTGTGTGAGCTGAAAATGCTTCTGTTTTAAAGCTTCCTTCTGCCATCAACTTCTGATGTCGAAAACAAATTTGCCTTTTACGGGAATGTCATAAGAGAGATGGAGAGAACAGATAAAATATCAAAGAGTTCTCAAAATACAGCACAAAAAAAGTAATTAAGATGAATTAGTATGGAGAATAGCTAAACTCAACCGATCTGCACGTCTTTTAACATTCAAATGATAATCGTGCGCGCGCTTTACGTACGTGACGAGTTATTCGAATATTAGGTAACGGTTGTGGTTTTTCATCCCTTGTCCTTCTCATTCCATCATGTGATCACTATCTGCCCTCTAGATGAGCTCAAGTACATAGAGCTTTTGCTACAGAATTATGGATGGTTATCTCGATATTGTAAATGATTATTTATCTTTAATATAATTTATGGGATGATTTAACGTCAAATGACGAAATTCCTCTTTGAGTCTCTTGATAATAATGATTCACGGCGTCAACTCATCCAGATGACTTAAGGCACTTTCGTAATTCTGTCGAAGGGTAGAATCCGATGGGAATTACAATCTGACGCTCTAATTCGATTCTTTGAGAACTCATCTATGTTCAGTTCAAATATTTATGGTTCGAAATGAAAAATAAAATTAAAATTCACTGGGGTGTAGTATATGATTATTAATTGAGTTAGTTGAAAGATTCATAATTAGTGGACTAGTCTAGCTTTAACGTTTCCAGGGAGTAAGAAGCGAGCAAAGGTTCAGAAAGAGTTTTCAAATGGCACCAGGATGTACTGGTCAGAATGCAATTTGACCGGGATGAATTCAAGGTAATAAAACAAGAGGAATGTTCAAAAATTAAATATTTACAGTCTCAGCCGGCTTGGAGGGATTGTCTTCGAGCTCGGAATTCCTAAGAAAAGGAAAAGGAAATTGAGCGGTGGAAAGAAGCATTTGGCTAAGAAGAGTAGGATGAAGAGCCGCAGGGAGAGTACCGGATGCTGCAGCTTTTAGGTAATCTACAAGATTTACGACTATTACAGGATGATGCTAATGAACTTACATTGACTAAGTAAAGCCTGCTGGAGAACAACTGGGTTGTACATTGGTGGTATCAGAAGTGGACCTTCCGATCGAGATTCTCTGAAAAACGTTCATGGACTTCGTCATTTGTTCTTCAACTTACGATTCGTATTCAGGTGATCGACCACTGGGATCTCTGAAACCCTTAGCGAAAGGATTTTTCTCGATTTTCAGCTTCGTTATCTGGAAAAGAAGCTTCAGGTTTTTACGGAACTGATTACGTACAAGTTGGTTTTGATAGGCAGTGACGGCCATAAACTGAGTTTCAGTGAAAACAAAGGTACGATGGACTTCTTCATTTAATTGAACCTAAACATGGTTTGTTTCCTTTCTATTGATAGTACAACGTTACCTTGTTAGGATCAAGAGGCTGTCCTTTAGCCCTACGAACAATATGGATTCGAGGTTGATATTTATGCATTGAGTTGAGGATCAACTGAAGTCAAGCTTCATTACGGATTTGTTTCTTTAAACTCACATGGCCTGCTCTATCGACTTCATTGTTTGTTAGCTTGGCTTTTTCGAAAGAGACTACTTGTTTCATGAGCTGAATATCGTATTGTGAAAAACGCGAACAGCAGTTCTAGTCTACCTGCTCTCCTGTGAATGGCGCATCTGGATGTAGATAAAGCCTATTTTTAGGGGCTGGTTCTGCTTTGCCGGCAGTTAACCACGCCGATTTGTTGTAGATGTAACGATAGCTGCAAGTATATTTAATTGCTTCTGAATGATCGTGTTTATAGGAACCGTTTGTTATCTACTGGTACAACATCGAGGAACACATAGTATAAACCATCCAGGTCAATATTTGATACTGATAACTTAACTGTGGGAAACATTCGTCTGAAATGGAGTTCGTGAGCAACAAATTTTGTTTCCTGTTTTTTTGAATTTATAAACTTCTTTTCAGTTTAACCTTGGTTGCATTACTGTACATGATGGCTTTTGTTGAAGAGAACAACATTTCTTTTCAACTCAACACTGCCTGATTTGCATAATCGACGAGAAACCACACCAAAACCATCTTATGATCAGTTTTCTCCCTTCAACAAATTTCTTTACGTGCAACACTCTCCTTGTTCGAGAATGAGTTCGAATAGAATGAGCAACCGATCAGTTCGTCTAACATTAACGAAATGATGCTATAGTGCACTTGTTCGCGGGCCGTGTACTGACGTGGCGTACACGTGAACCACGTCATTTCGAACGAGGTGCGTTCGAACGGACAATTACCGTAATAAGGGGGTAAGCGTTAACGGAGAAATTTGGAGGAGATTGATTACCATCAAATCACGGGTGGCCTAATGACAACAGAAATAATCGAGAAGTAGGAGAAGAAAGGAAATAAGGAAAGTCATAAAGTCATGCTGATAAAGACTTGGAGACGATAATGTCGTATTGATAGAAGGAGAAGGAACAATTCAATTTCATACGGTATTTCTAATGATTAATGGTAAGATCATAAAGATTATGATTATGTTTATATGACAACTAACTGGATTACTTCTATTTCGGAGAAGAACAGCCAAAAAACATCTAATTATGGTCAGTCCATTGCTATTTTCACATTACTTTTCTATTTTTGAATTTGATTCTTCTCCTCCTATCGTATGTGAAGCTGTTGTTCGCTCGGTAACCAACCGCGATTTGAATATACAGCCATTTTCATGTCCCAGATTATTGTGATAATGGTAGAAGTGACAGGTTAACATCTATTCCTGCTTCGGATGGTTACGGTAGAAGAATTATGGGAAATTGAATGAGATCTTATTGAGATGACGACAATCCTATCACCTCTACAGTCCTACAATATGGGCTTTTTGGTTGATGAAGAAGATTCGAATTGGTGAGAGATACCATTCTCGTCAGAGAGAAACAGACGGCATGCTAAGGACTGTCAATCATGTTCAAAAGCTATCCGCCATTTTCGAATTGAAAGAGAATTGGCTGTGATTGTTCTACAGCCTATAGAAAATGTTCTCAGAGCATATAATACCAACAACGACATCAGCAGGTCTTCCGTCGCCTATCACGAAGAATTCTGAAGGCTACCGTAGTCGTCAAATGGTTTTATTGATTATGAATGGAATAGTTAAAACGTTGAAATGATCTTTTTTGAGGAGGATAAGCTGGTAGCACTGTATGTGATCCAGATTGTATATCTGAGGTATGATTACATCCTCTTTCTTCGCGCATTTCAGGGCGTAGACAGAGATTCATTTGGGATCAAAGGTTTAAGCACGCCATTGATGTGATCAAACTGCTAATGAAATCTATGACACTGCTTTGTTTTTGAATTACGAGGACTCTGTAGCAGGTAATGTAAAGAGTGGGAGGGTACAAGATACTTTCTACTGTTTGATTTCAGCACTTTCAAGCTGGATCCCGAAAAACTATCGATACGAAAGAAGTGCTTGTTGAATCGGCAACTCATTTGTCTAAAAGTCATCGAGTGAGTTATAAAAAGAGCAGGGACGTACATAGTCGCAAACAAATTTGGAAAATGGACTGAAGCTACGGTAATTAACACGTTAACGAGATGACGAGAGAGAAACAAAATGAAGAGAGATGACAATGAAAAGGAGCAGATGTCAAGCAGGGAATAGCTGCAGAAGTCAGAAGATAGAAGGGGTGAGAATGGTTTAGCATTCATTAGTTCCGGTCAGAAATTGGAGGAACTTGTAAGTGAGAAGAGAGGCTTCAGAGTATTGTCTGATAATGAGGAGAGACAATCATGTAAAGTGCCGAAATTACGAAAAGGCACAGACATGTTCACAGCATACAAACATCTTCCTTTCCAGATACAAAAGTCAATAAGGCTGATGGATGTTTTATCGTCGCCCAAAAGACTTCTGAATTGAATCTTTTGTGCTCATGCAGTTACGACTAATTTCTTGGAGTAAATGTTGCAAAACATCTCATTTCAGTTTTACATCAAGATGGCAATGTTGTAAAACTAACCTTCCGCTCTTGGTAATGATCATTTCCGTGCCAAGCTCGTAGAATTTCGCCCAAAGCTCTGATCCTTCTAGTCGACATTGGATTCCATCCAGAGAGTCTCCTTGAGGGGACAAGTTCTGTGTGGAATCTTTCAATACGTCTGAGGTAGCTTGTATAGATATGGGTGATGTGCAACTCGTTGTAAGCTCATCCTCATCGGGAGTCGGCGTCTGTTAAAGAGAAAAAGATATAAAGTTGACAGTAATTTGTCTTCGGTTTTGGAAAAGGATTCTCATTCTGTTCTTCGTTCTCGCACATGAAATATATTCCAGCACGGATTAAAACATAAAATGATTTTTTTCGTTCGTGAAGAAGTGAAGTCGATAAAACGACATTGAAGAGTGACATGCCTATTTCGGTCACATGAGATACACAGATTTCAAGAAGAAAAAACTAAATTTACAAGCATTTCAGCATGTAAGGAACTGATTTCTAAGGATTAAACGACTTACTGATGATTTGGGAGCTGAGGATGCTGTACTACTCACGACCACTGTAGCAGCCACAGTAGTTGTAGGTTCTTCCAAAATTGTGTCAATGGAGAATCGAGCTTTTTTAGTTTTACTTCCTTGCTCGTTGGAAGAGTCTGAAGGAGAGCTAGCAGAAGAGGAAGAAGTCACTTCCACTGATATTTGTCTTTTGTCAGCAACACGAGACATATTTGGTTGAGAAGTTGATGAATATGAAAACTCTCTGTGCTAGTTTGATATCACTTATTCTATATGAAGTAATAGGAAGATGATTATACGGAGTGTGTTGAAGAGCAGGAGTATGTCCCGAAGCTAGACCACACAGCTTTCCTTCGACGGGTTCTGGTGGCAAAAGGGGGAGGAGCCTTTGCAAGAGCCAATCAGAGACGATCACGCAGACAAGGCCGTTCTGCAAAGGAATAACAGTCACAAAGAAACTTGAAGGATTACGGTATGATATGAAGACTTCATGAAATAATTGAACGTCAAATTATAGCCAATGAGAGATGAAAGAAAATCTGTTTGGAGCACTAAGCGTAGGCAGTAGTCCCTAACCGGATTGAGCTGACAAGTTCGTCGTCGTTGACTGCTATCAACTGATATTTTGGAACGAAATTCGACAGAGAAAGATTTCGTCTAAATGACAACGACGCACTTTTTTGTCGTCTTTGCTCCAATATGAAGATCATGAAATATGTGCGTCGAAAGCCGAGTCACAGCACAAATTCGCCCCTTGTGGCCTGGTCTCGTCATTGTCAACACACAGACGATATTTAAAATGGAAGTTTAGGATGTGTAAGATGAAGAATATAATTGATTTGAAAAAGAAGGTTCACAATGTCTCATATATTTTGAATTTCCCAAGTTCCATGTCTCTCGGAGACAAACAACAAAGCAGTGAGTTAAGGTCGTCCGAGAAAGAAGAACTTCACTTTAATCTGCTCAAAAACAAATATATAAAAGAAGGAAAATTACTAGAAGAGGTTGTTGTTTCTTCTTCCTCTCAAAGTTAAACCTACTATTTGTTATGCAGAAGAATATGATCCAAAAAAGTATATGAAAGACTTGAAATTTGGAAAGTTCTAAGCTGACTAATATGAGGTGATGATTAGACGCTTCTATTAGACATAAAGAAGCTCTTAACTATAGTAATTAGCTATTTAACCTAATAAGGAAGAATGTTGGAATGAATTACTAAGAGAAACACTGGACTGAATTGGCTAAATGGGGGTGGAGACACACACAGACACACTGCAAGTTCGTGAAGAAGCAAATCATCAGCGAATAATCACTACGACTGGCGATAATTTGAGACATAACTCTGTAAGGCAATGCTACTGCTATGAGTGTTGGGAGTATGTTTGAGAAAAGTTGACGATAAAATAAAAATCAAAGTATTCAGCTGGCTGCAAGGATAAATGACAATGGATGGAGGAGGAGGCTAAAGAGTTCTTCCCACTCTCTATGTCTCAGCCTCTTTCTCTCCCTTCTGATATGATTGACCATAAAATATCTGTGGTGGCTGAATCAAATATGGTCTTATGTACGGCAGATCTTCCGATATGAGGATAAATGGTTATCAATAATCATAAAAATTGCATTTCTCACCTGAATATCTGTTAAGAATAATTATAGCGAAAACTATCATTCTTAATTATACAGAAACGATGTTAATGTCCTTGTCGGCCATTTACTACTGTGTTTCTTGGAACTTTAACCTAATCAACCTCTGAGAACCGAAAACCAACCATTCTCTAACATTTCTGCACTCAAAATGAGAACAACGTGAGTTCACGTGAACGCGCTAATTGTTTGTAAAACCAGTGCATGATGAGCGGGCGAGAATTTGAATTTATTTTATTCCATAATTGGAATGTTATTTATTTTGTTACCAATGTTCACATATCAATATTGAATGCAAACAGCCTTCAAACATCCATTCCATGTTCAGTTGATGTTGTTTAGCTGCTGTGTTACATCCTCTCACTCTCACTCATTCTCCGAATCTGTTTTATCGTTCTTCTTCTTCTCTCAGATATGTATATGATGTTCGATGATGATTTTACATGATCACTACAATTACAATCGTTTTTAGAGGCTTTCCACTAATTTGCATAACTGTATGTGGTAGTATACCGTTTACACCACCGTCTGTCACCCGTCGACATAGAGGTTGTCGCTACTATCGTTGTCTTGTGTCTTCAATAGTCTACGACTTCCAATATGTATTGTGATCAAACCGACGTGTCTGTCATAAAACATATAACTGTATATTGCCGGCGAAAGAAAAGAAAAACGATGGAACGAATACAAAAGTCTTCAAGACAATATGTTTATGAGCCTGTCTCCACTCATATTCAAATGCGTGACATATGGCTAAGTGATAACCGAGCAGAGACTACAGGTGAGAAACATGAGCGAGAAGGACAATCATGAAATGAGTCATTTAAGGGAAAACAAAATGAAGACAGCAATGCAGTACAAATCAAGAAGTCGAAATGAATCTCGAAAGCCTATCTTACACTGTGATGAGTCGGGAAGCTAAATGGGCGTATCCGTTGAGCTCAATGGGAGGTTGGAATTCAGAAGAAATCTAAACCAAATCAGGCTAGTGCTTTTAGACATTTTAAACACGTTCGTGCGCTCCACTCAGCATATATTATGTAAATTATGATTTTGATTTTGTTGTCAGCTGTGTTTATGTGCGATTGGGGATAAGATGGTCGTTATATGTGTGGATGGTGTTTTTTGACCTTGTGTCTCACTATGCTACTTGCACTGATTATTATTATGAGAGTTGGAAAAAAAGTTGGAAGAGATATTAGCTTCTTCTTAGCGCCTGCTGTCAATGCGTCATTGCGGTTGCCTTTGATTAATGTGCATATATAGGCTGTCAGTACACGATGTAAAGCAGCGCGTTCATACATGGTAATGATGACAAATGAATTCAGCGATCATATCGCGGCGATCAGCAGTATCGTTGAGGGAGATGAGAAGGTCGAGATTGAGTGTGAACGTGATGGGTGAAGAAGAATGAGGGAAAAGCTGAAACAGCTCGCAGTCTGTCGCCTTTGTATGTTATGCCATCATATATTCTGCTGCTATCTTGTCTCCAAGCTGATTCATGTCGATGCCGAAGAGAGTAGAGGCATGATAACCATCTTCGACAATGTCAAAGAAGGAATTAATGCTTAATATTAGCATATATCCTCAATAGCTTTATGACTCTTACTCAATGCTTAGCCTTTCTTTCGGGGTCTTCAATTGGAAGTCGTCGAGCAAATAGCAGATGAGGTTTTTCAGTTGACAACAAGCATTTCCTGTCCTGGATCATGATATGAATTGCTTTTTCCTCAATGTAGAACAACAAAAAAAAGCCCCAGGGGCGCATTTGAACCCATTACAGATCCGATTCAGTTCGTTGCCGAGCTAAGCAACTTCATGATCCTTTTGAGGGTCACTTAATGGGTGTACGGGATGTTTTAGGATTCCAAAGCGACTATGTTAGCCATTCATCCGTCAGTTGGCCAAATGATGCCACTTACTTTAACCACATTTCGAACGCCTCATCTCTTCAAAAGCAATCTATCCAATCTATTCTCATCAGGTATTTGAAAGAAACAAGTATAGCAGCTCTACAGATGGCTCTGAATGTTTCTTGGATTAGCAATAGGATTCGGACGAAACGCATGCAAAGAGAAGACCGCCATATCCTTGGATGACCACCATGTCCATTCCTTCTCACCAATTCATCAATAACGAAACTCTGGTAATATGTTGAAGTTCCCGAAAAAATGAATCACAGGGTATGTCACAATCTCCAGAGTATCATGCATCTTGAAAACTCCATACTCTGTCTATGCTTCCTTAACTGCACCCTATTGCCCTCAAGCTTTGAAGATAACGTTCTAATCAAGATGAATTTGCCAAATTTAGCGCCAATTTGTTCTGAACGACTTGCTTTAAGAACGTCTGTGTAACCGGGGCCTCCCGACAGGCTAATGGTATTAGCGACAAGAGAGGCAGCAGATTGTGAACGCTGATAAGTCCGAGTCATGAGCCATCGGAAACACATTTGAAGCTTCTGTCTTCTTGCTTTTCACTCTTACTAGATGGGAAACAATCTTTAAAAAGGGATTAGAGAGATGTCACATTCAGTACGACAACCATTTTACAGAACTGAAATGGACTGACTGAGCCACAGGCATCCGCGTCTTTGTTTTAGTGTCACACAAGATTAAAGCTAAGACATGGCTGAGTTTTTTCAAGCCAATTTTGAAGCTAGGGACCTTATTTGTTGAAGGCGAGCTCTTCTAACTGCCGTCATATCTTTCAAAATGAAACTTCTGTTATGTATAGTTTCTACTTCGCCACTTCCTTATTAGCTGCCGTGCTTAGTCTGACTTGAATTCTAGAATAATATTGGAATAGAATCAGTCTACAACTCTCAGATTCTAAGAACTTGATGTGACAAAGTCAGTTTGTCTTGATTTAAAATGATATGTTGCCTTGCGACACTTGTTAAAGTGTGCAAATCTTGATATTCTTGAGTTTTGAAAATCTGTGAAACTGAAGATGACCGAGTAGCGTAGAAGATAAGATAGCGTAAAAGTCACACAATATGTGAGAAATGACAATGGAAAAGGGATTAGTTGAAATTTGGCTTACTCGTTGCACATGTTATCTCTGTCATATCTTTGTCTCTTCTGTCCGTCCAGTTGTTGTGGATTTGTCACCCAGAGTTGTCGTCCCTATGCGATTGTCTCATGGGAACGCGATTGACTTGTCGGTTCGAGTGTTAATTCGAGACATTTGACACACGAAATCTCAGCTGAAAGACTGAAAAGTTTGTCTCTTCCAAAAAAAGACTCGACTTGTCGTCTTTATACATCGCGAAGACAACAAATAAATTGTCGTTTGAGCAGACTATATCTTGGAAAAGACGACGAGTCTCGACGACATCGTTGGCATTCAATTCGACATTTGGCGTCATATTTCAAAAACTTTTTCAAACAAAAAATCCAGATCTTCGAATAATTCAGTAAAATAAGAACGCAAACATGCTGCGAACAAAAAAAAATGAAAATCTTATAGACACGCGTATGTTTTTCACGTGGCTAAGTTCACGTTATGCTAATGAAGCGTCCTTACGTGGCAATGTTGTTTGCTTAATTATGGAGTTTGTTCCGTCATTAGAATATGACGACTCAATCAAAGGAGGTGCTCTGTTTTCGAAATGAAATTAAAATCTTGATTTTCTAGAGCCAGTCCCCCAAAAAGGAAGGAAATGAAGAGTTCCCTGTTGCGCCAGCACTACCTTTGTGTGATAGAGTGAAAGAATTGAAGTTAGATGGTTGATTCTTAATCACTGAGTGACCTTGTGACTAACTTCATTAAGAGTATGATGAAGAGGACAAGGAATTCTATGAAGATCTGCTCTCGAAACCAATCTCTTATTATTTTGACAAGAAAGATGTTCCTGATGCCATTTGTCGCAAATTCATCCCGGTTATAGTTCCTTTTCGAATGACTTTTAATCCCAGGTTCAGGATATTTCACGACGTTTCATGGAATGTGAGAAAAGAATTCAGACCATTGAGGATCTTCTAACGAGCATACCTAATAAAGAGAGTGGGTTGAACGAAATGAGGTTTGAACTTCATTAAATGTTCATCTCATTTGAGTATATCAGATTTGAAACTTTGGTCGAACTTTTGGACAAAGCTTGCCAAGGTTTTGAAATTTGGGAGGAACATGTGGTTCGTGCAACTGTTCCTCTGTAACTCCCACACAATATTGTTTCAGACAAAGAAAATACCCTATGGTCATCGTGTTGTCCTAGAAGCCAGTTTGTGCAACTTGATTTCAAGCAAATTTGAAATAATCACTCAAGTTGAGTATCAGTTAGCAACAGTCTTAATTCCATTCTATCAGATTTGCGATGATTTGAGCAAAATGGGAGAAGACAGAGATAGCTGGTTGAACAAAGCAGAGGTTAGCTCTGATCGCAGCCAATTGAAAAGTCTTATGTTTTTCAGTGGCTACGTTATGAAATAAGAAGTTGCGACATGATATTCTATGAGCTACACGTGAAATTCTTACAATCCTATATGGGTATCAGTTGGTAACACTTATTCCGATCACAGGATAGGCCATGTTCCTTCCTTTCATAAAGTATTTGATCGAATTTCTCTCCTCCGTCGCGTATTAGCAAGCGTTCATGTTTTCGTTTCGCAATAGAGCACATAGACAAGTCATTCGATTGTGTGTATTTTCGAATGAGCAGTTAGATCTTAGTTAATACTTGCTTTTCTATCGTTTTCTTTATTCCATTACGACTTTTTCCTTATTTCGAAAAATATATTATTTGTTTAAGAAGTCATGCGTGTCCCCGCTGGCGCACCTGTGCCGTTCTGGCTCGGTATGAAAAATAGGTTTCCTGCTCTGACCAAGTTTTCGAAACCCTCTCTTGGAACTGTCGGTGTTGCTTGTACAATCCTCATCACTGGATTCGCTATTTATGCTGTGGGTGTATATCCCAAAATACACAATGATTATTACAAGAAAGCTCAAGCTGAGGAAAGAGCTCAACTCAAATGGAATAAGGAAGAGTTGGCTCAGGGTCAACGCGTTTGGTCAGATCCCTTTGGAAAGAAATAAAAATCTTCTCAACCACTTAGTAAATTATGTGTCTATTATTAATGTGTATTTGTTCGTTATTTCTTCTGTCGTCTTGTTAGTTGCTTAGTTAACGAGGAAGTAAATAAAACATTTTGCAGGCAGTATGTCGTCTAATAACTCCGACGACGATCAAGAACAACCACAAGGAGGGAAGCAGAATGACGATCAAGACGAGCCGGTCAAGAGAAACCAATTCGATTTGACTAAGTATGAACCTAATGAAACTGTATTTTACCCATTCATTATGTGTGTTATTGATTGTTCTTAGACTATTGACTTGACTCACTCAAGAGCTGATCATATCCCGGACTTCACTGGATTTGAACAGTTAAAGGTTGACCGTTTCCGATTTTCCAATTTCAATTTCGATTTACTTAGGAAGCTTATCTGAGAAATAACTTGATTACTGTTATACCCAACAATCGTTTCAATCACACTTTAACTGAGCTTGACTTGTATGAGAATCAAATCGAGAAAATCGAAAATCTGGAAAGTCTTGTTAATCTAGAGAAGTTGGATTTAACCTACAATAGGTATAGTCTTGTTCACTCATATCCTTTTCTCATATGAGCTTCTTGAAGAATAAGAAAAATCGAAGGCTTGGACAAGTTGACGAAGCTAACTGAGCTTTACTTGGTCCACAACAAACTTACTGAAATCCAGGGTCTTGAAAACTTGACCGAGCTAAAGCTGATAGAGTTAGGAGACAACAGGTGGGAATCACATCTCAGTATCGGTGTCGAAAGAGAGTTTTCTTAGACTGAAGAAGATTGAAAACATCTCTCATCTGGTAAAATTGAAAGAACTCTACTTAGGTAAGAACAAGATTCGCAAAATTGAAGGACTTGAGACTCTTACAAACCTCGTTACACTTAGCATTCCCGTGAGTTACTCCTGATGTTGATAAAGAAATCTTTTTCTTCAGGGTAATCGTCTAGTTAAAATCGAAAATGTAGAGAATCTCGTTAATGTCGAGGAAATCTATCTCAGTGACCAAGGTATCCAAGAAATCACAGGGTTATCAACTATGGTAAACAATATTCTTCTGTTCTTTCAAACTATGCACATTTAAGTCCAAAATGCGGATAATAGATATTTCCATGAATGAGATCACAAGCTTGAAAGGCATCGAGAACAACAAGTCCATCACAGATATTTGGGTTAGTTCGAAAGTTCCTTCAGAATTAACCTTTCGCACCAGGCCAACAACAATCGCGTCGCTGATTGGAAGGAGGTTGAACCTCTCAAGGATCTACCGGAGTTGGATACAATTTACTTGGAGCACAATCCAATCTATACTAACGTAAGTGCTGTTATACCCATCTTACTAACCCATCGCCCATTACAGGATCTTAATGGATACAGAAGGAAAATGATTTTGACTCTCCCTCAAGTGAAGCAGATCGATGCCACCTTGTGTAGATAAACCTTTCTCATGTTAAATCACATAATTTGAAATAAATATTCAGCTATATGATTTGTGTCAATTCATATCAACTATGGTATTTTGAACACTCTCATTACCTCTCGAGGTTTGAAGTGCGCTCCAATCGCAGTGCTATCTCAAAAATGGTCCCGAAGAGAATGATCGCGTACATTTACGTTCATCTTTCAAAAGTACGTGGCATTCGGAACTTGTACGGGCTTTTCCGTGGTAATTAAGTTCAAAATGCTTTGGGCTTATTTATTATTAGCTATTGCAACGGTTGCTTCCGCTGGAAAAGTTTTAGTATTAGTTGAGAATCTAGGAGCCAAGGACACACACTCAATCTTCCTCCAATCCCTGAAAGGTATGGCTATTGTCATCAATAATTATCGTTATGTCTCGCTTTTTCCAGAGAGAGGACACCAAGTTTTCGTTAGAACTGCCGATGATAGTTCATTGAATCTTCAGAAGTATGGAGAGCTTGTTTATGACCATTTGATTCTTTTCGCACCATCAGTAGACGGTATTTCGACTTTTCTTTTCGCTTGGTCAATCTGTGAGTTACAGAGTTCGGTGGAACCGTCAACGTTAAGGAGATTGCAAGCTTTGTTGATGCTGGAGGAAACGTTATTGTTACCGGTGGAGCTAATCTTGGTGAAGCCATCAGAGAGTTGGCCATTGAACACGGATTTGAATTCGATGAGACTGATACCGCTGTAATCGACCACAAGAACTATGATGCTCTATTGGTTTGTGTTCTCCCTGTCTGATTTCTCTTTACCTTTATATTCATTTCAGGATGATGGATTCCACACCACTATTGTTGCTGGAAAAGATCAACTCATCAAGTCGAACCTCATCGTCGGGGAAACCAAGAATTTGAACCCTATTCTTTACAAGGTAGACCTCATATATCATTGGTATTGTATATTAACTATGGCTTTAGGGATCAGCTCTGGTTGCCGGTAAGAACAACCACCTTCGCCTCGAGGTTCTCCATGCCTCCCCATCTGCTTATTCCTACAAGCCTGCTGAACCTCTCATGAGAGTAAGATTAAGCATAATTAGTTTGCTTCATTAGTTTCTTAGAACCCTTCTATTGCTGGTAAGCATGCCATTCTTGTCGGAGCTGTTCAAACCCGTAACAATGCTCGTGTTGTCTTCACTGGATCTTTGGAGATGTTCTCAAACAAGTTCATCAATGCCCAAGTTCACAAAGCCGGTTTGACTGAGAAGTAAGTTCCTAGTGGATAACCTTATAATTTAATTCATATTTTCTCAGGCCTGTACCTTCTGGAAATCTTGCTCTTGTCACTGACTTGTCTAAGTGGGCTTTGAAAGAGACCGGTGTTTTGAGAGTCAAGAAGGTTACCCATCACTTGGCCGGAAAGAATATCGTCCCAACTGAATACACGATCACTGATGAAGTCGAATACATCATTGAAATCGAAGAGTTCAAGAACGGTAAATGGGAGCCATTCCAAGGAAAGGATGTCCAATTGGAGTTTGTACGTATTGATCCTTTCGTCAGAACTGTTCTTCAAAACAAGGTAGAGTTCAGTAACAATCTTAACAGTATATTACCTGAAATTTGCAGAACGGAAGACTCTCAATCAAGTTCACATTGCCAGATGTTTACGGAGTCTTCAAATTCCTAGTCGATTATAGAAGAGTTGGATATTCTCATCTTCATGATGTCCAACAGGTAACAATTCTACTTTGTTTTTTCCTCATGATAACTCATCTAGGTATCCGTTCGTCCACTGTTGCACACTCAGTACGAACGCTTCATTCCATCAGCCTATCCCTATTATGCCTCATCATTCTCCATGATGGCGGGATTAGTTTTGTTCTCCATTGTTTTCCTTCATTTCAAGGAACCAGCAAAAGTTTCTACTGCTGCCAAGAACAAGTAGATTATGAGATGAATGGTTGTTGACTTAATTTATAAAAACTTATTTAGTGACTAATTATTCTTGTTTTCTCGAAAAGCAAAAGAAAGACAACATATTACAGTGTTTAATAGTCTTCAAAATCATAAAATTTTACTATTCTCTATCATATATTCTATAAAATCTAATAATCTATGACAAACTTCTTAGGCAAAGTATAAAACAATGAGTGGTGTAGGTTTTTGTTACAAGAAATACTATTGAGTATCCGATAGTAAAGAAGACTCGCTGTACTCATCTCCGAAGTTGTCCAGCAGCTGCAATGATCACAAACGTTATTTTCAGCATCTTTGCCAACTTCAACTCACCAAACCACTCGAAAACATATCGAAATCTTCAAACTTATTAATAGGTGTAGCAATGCTGTCATAGAAGGATGGCTCTTCCTCCACTACTTCAGTTTTCACAGAAAGCTGCAAAGGATACTATCGTTTGATGATCAAGTATAGATCTGTACTTCTTTTATCCAAGTGTGTATTAAATCTGCCAAAGAGCAGTCAGATATCAAGCGGAAACGTCCAGCACCACCGAGGATTTCTGTATTGATAACAGCATTGTTTCGAGCATGATCAAGTTGACTAACCTCGTACAGCTGACATGTTCTCAGCATCCCAATGTATTAGATTCTTCTCAAACTGCTCCTTGATAACAAGAATTTTTCTTTGCTAAACGATGATGTTGTCATTGAATGCTTCTGGTTATAAGCTCACTTCAGCAGGTGTCAGTTTTATCATATGCCCATCAATTAAATGACCACTGTGATATAAACAACCTTCAATTTGAAGGACGGACGTGACTGGGTTTTGCTTAATCTAAGAACAAGAATGTACTACAACTGTTTTCATTTTAAGCTAACCTTCAAATAAGCCATGCAGTTTTTGCCGCATTTGATGGATGGTCTTGGCGGTCTAGCGAACTTCTTATTAGGCCGTTCTTTCTGATCGCCGCTTCTCGAACATGTAAGGTAATGAACCTGTTATTTACAATTAATTTAGGGAGTGTTGATGTGAACACACCTGTAAGCCATAACCCCATTTCTTCGAGCCGGACGATACTACGAACTCTACGGCATGTGTTGAACGAAGCTCTTCGAGCCAAGACTAAAGAATGATTGTTTGCTAGGCGAATACTTTGTACTTCATACCTGTAATTCTTCTCTACTATCAAAGGTGCGGTTTATCAGAGGTGCTTCAAATCCATGATTATCAGTCATATGTTTTAAGAGTAGGGGACGCGAATATGCCAGCACATCACATTCACTACATCTGACCTACATAGTTTGGTGTTAAAAGAATCGGTTCAGCAAAACTTACTCCTTTGGGCTTAGCAGGAGGTTTTTCACCAGTCGTTGTCATTTTTTTGCTAGCGAGCATCATCTGTACCTGCTTGGATGGATGCACACTATTATTATGCCGCCTCAAAGCAGCAAGAGACGAGCCTCTCCAGAAGCAATCCAACTCCATGCAACTATATATTTGAAAGTTGAATAATATTCAAAAGAGCATCTTACTTATATTGCGTTTGTTCAGCTTTAGGTCTTATAACTGTGGGAAAACATGGAAACTGAGGAGTTTCGACATTATCTAAGAGAAGTGTTGTGAATTGGGACTGGGGTAGGGCATGCTTACCTGGACAAACTTCTTGCTCATCTATTTCTTCTTCGGTATATTCTGCACCTATAGACATACTTGGTGGTACTGTTGGTATGTGTAAAGGAATTGTACTATCTATGTTATTTATTGCTTCACAAAGTGTCATCTTTCTCGGAGGGCTGCTGAAAAATAGTTGTTATTGAGTGATACAAATACACATTATATACGATGAGTATTCCTCCGCTCTGGGACGATTTATCTTGAGAACATACTGAGTTCGACTAGAGTTTGAAGTTATAGATGATGCATTTGCCCAAACTTGCTGTTTCGGTGTAACGGTGATCTTCAATGAGATGAATTATCGATTTATTAAATATTTAAAGCACAGGCACAACCGCTTCATGACTGCGCACCAATTAAAATGAAAAATGAAATGCCACGTAGTTCACGTGAATTTCATTCAATACTTACAATTTTTCCTTCACCCGAAGAGAGTGTTCTTAAATAACGAACAGCGGTTCTTTGTGTGTTTGTAGGAGGCATAATAATATATCGTTTCCTAGGAAAACACTGACTAGGAGGTAAATTCTGTAAAATTAGCATAATTAATGCTTAGCTATACAAGTAGCCTTACCGAATATGGCGTATAGGAGTTTCTATATGAATGTATTCTAGGTAATTGACTCTTTGTATCTACAGCAACATAACCTAATGATCTTTCAGGGTCCATTGTATACTCTTCCAAACTATTTGATGAACTACCCCCCGACATGATGTCATAAACCTAAAAGTAATAAATTAGCATAAAAACGTGTTGTAAGGCAAGGAAAGGGAGAAGCTTTACAGTGTACTTAAGGCTACATGGCACAGCTTAAAGTTTTCATTGCGACGGCACAACCTGTTCCGCTGAACGTCGCAGAGTTGCGTAGGAAAATTTGAAAAATTGAAACAAATTGAAACATTGAGTAATCGAAACATCAAAAGATTGTTGTTAATTGTCTTTTTCCACAACAATAGGTAATTGGCATTCTAATTATCTTTTCCAGCTTCTGATATGCGATGTCACAACGGGTACTGAGAAAGCGGACTATCGTTGTTACAACATCCGACGACGAGGATGGCTGTTGGTTGAACTCACAACGACAATCTTCGTTTTCGCAAGGCACGCAACGAGCTTCGCAACGTAGGGGGAGAAAAAATAATAAAACAGAAGGATCAGTGTTCTCTCAAGCGGCTACTTCGCAATCCCAACGAACGCAAACTTTGAGATCAAGTCAAAGTTTCAACTTCAGTTCGCAACCCAACTTTTCAACTCACAAAGAAGGTAAAATTCAAAAGACATACGTTATAGAGATTGTTCTTTAGCTTCCTCTCCGCCTGCTGAAGACGCTTCTTATCCTGATCGATTAAAACCTACTTCTCCTTCAGACTTGGCTGTAAATCCTACGAAGCTCCAAGAAGTTTTTAAGGCAGGCTTGTGCTTTACTTATAATCTTATTTAAGCTCAAAGATTGGTTGAAGAAAGCTAAAGTTGGAAGCCAACGTCTTCTTCTAACAGGACCACCTGGTGCAGGTAAGATCTGTCGATTGCTCTGTTTGCTCTCATGTTTGATTTGGAGGAAAAAGTACTTCCGTCGAAGTATTGTCCCGTTCCCTCGACATAGCTCTACTTATATATGAAGCTGAATTACTCTGCGAAGTGAATGCTACCAACGGAACGGTTTATCAGGTGTTCCTGAATTCATTTTTAGTTTTTACTTATGAGTCTAGGAAAATGCCACGACGGCTTTCTTCGATTTTCTCCGAAATCCGCGGAAGCCATGTGGAGATACTCGACCAGCGATTTTACTTATTGACTCTCTGCCTCTCTCATCTAAATGGTTCGAGACACGATCTGTTTTTGCTATACGTTTTCATTATTTAGGAACTTCAAAGATTTCCAAAACGATCTAGCATGTGCCCTCCGCATCTGCAAGTTCTCGATAGTTTTCTGTCTCTCGGATGACAGTACAGATTACTGGCATTCTTACAAAGCTGCCTTTACTAGTCTTTTCATGAATGTAATCAATTGATCAAGTTGAGAGCTGATTCACATCTTTTCAGGAAAACAATATCACTTCTATGTCTTTCTTACCAATCGCCAATCGCTTCATGGATAAAGCTCTGGCGAAAGCTAATAATACTCTAAAGCTGAAGGTTATTCACGTATATATCTCTTGGTTAAATATATTTTTCCAGCTCAGCTCTTCTACTCTGAAAGAGGTTGCCAGTATTGCCAGCGGTAGGTCAGAATTGGATGTACGTTTCTTAATATGTCCTTTCTCTAGGTGACATTAGAGCTGCACTTAATATCATCCAGTTCTCTCTAAGCAATAGCGGCAACAAAGCCAATCTGGAAGCTCTTCACCAAGGCGCATTCACGTCAACGGTTTTTATTTTTTCGAAATTTTCAATGACCCAACCGTACTGTTTCAGATTTTTCATCAGATTGGATCACTTCTTAATGCAAAGCGAAAGGAAGTGACAGACGATTCTTTCGACACGTGCAACGTGCCTAGTAGACCACCTCTAATTCGTGAAGCCGAAGAGATATTGGAAATGACCAACGCATCGCCAGCGATGGTGAATCAAACTCTAACTTAGGATAGCTCATCTGTTTTTCAGATTACTTCGTTCCTTCACGAACATGAACCGAACTTCTCACCTTCAATCTCGGCCACACGTCGTGTGTTCGAATTGTTTTCTTATTGTGACTCACTCAGTAGTCGTTGGGAGTTCAGAGAGAAAGTCAACGAATACTCTGCTCAGATTTGCACCAGGGCAGTTCAGTTTCACAATTATGGTGAAAAAGGTCTGTTAGCTTGTGTTTTTTGTTTTTACCATATAAACTTCAGAGAACAAATCGAGAAGTACTTACTGTATCACCAAACCTAAGTTTAACGAATTAGAGAAAGATGTCCGTTCGAGCTTGAAGCAAGTTCAAAGTGTTGTACATATACTCAGCTTGGGTAGCGATGCGTTTTCTTTGTAAGTCACTTTTTCTGGTCTTTCTGAATGTTTGCTTCAGAGTTCTCCCAATGCTCCCGTGGATAAGAGTTTCTGTAGATAAAAACCAAAGTGATATCATTTCTTATCTCACACGGCCTTTGACATTCTCTCGCTTGGCTGGCTATCAGCAATGGATTACTCAAAGGAATCAACAATTATCTGGAAGACTGCCTAATGGTCCTTTGATATTGACAAGGTTGGCTTAGATATGTTTGAAGGAAGACCAAGATAGTTTTAGTCGGGATAACAAATCAGTCTTGCTCCAACCTGATATAATTATTGACTCAGGCTCCTTACTAGATTCGGAATTGAATGAGGACTTTGTAATTGATGATTCGGATGAGAATGTCGAAGATAATGAACTGTACGATAGTTTTGACGACGGGTATTAAAGATTTTTAACTGTTAAATATCTTATCGAAAATACAATTAGTTGGCACGTCTAAGAGATCAAACTGAGAGGAGAGAGACTGAGATCTGTTTAATAATTGTATTCGTCGTCTTCGTCTGGATCTGTCGCATCGATTCCAACCTAAGGTTAGTTTATTTTGCAAGCGTTCAGAAATGAAAACCAACTTCTTCGTAATCTTTCTCTAGCGCAGCTAAATCCTCACGGGCTTCACTGAACTCTCCTTCTTCCATTCCTTCTCCAACATACCTCAAATTGGACTATACTTCTCAATCTTTTGGTTGAATCTTACCAATGTACGAAAGCTCTTTTTGCATACATCAGATCAAACTTGTGATCTAATCTGGCCCATGCCTCAGCTATGGCAGTAGTATTAGAGAGCATGCATACACCTCGTTGAAGCTTAGCCAAATCTCCGCCAGGAACAACTGTTGGGGGTTGATAGTTGATCCCTACCTAAATTGAATATTTCCTTTCATTAGAACAGGATGTTGGACTATTGTTATCGTCGTTGTTTTCAAAAACGCTACCTTAAAACCAGTGGGGGACCAATCTACAAACTGTATTGTTCTTTTCGTTTTGACTGCCGCAATGGCAGCATTGACATCTTTGGGAACAACATCTCCACGGAACAAAAGACAACAAGCCTGGAATGTTTTGATTGTTCTGCCTGTTCTTTAACTTCCAACTACCATATACTTTCCCCTTCGTGGATCGCATTTTACCATTTGTGCACCTGGCTCGAAACATTGCTGAGTAATCTCGGCAACCTGTAAATATTAAATGTTAACGGCCATCTGGTCATTGATTGTTTGTGTATGTTGTCAACATACAGTCATTTGCTCGTGATAAGCTTTTTCGGAAGAGATTATGGGAGCAAATGTTGTCAAAGGGAAATGTATGCGTGGATAGGGCACCAAATTGGTCTATAAAGAGTTATAAATACAATGACCAGATGATTTAATGATCAGTGTGTACCTGAAACTCGGTCAAATCGACGTTCAAAGCTCCATCGAAACGAAGACTAGCAGTGACAGAACTGATAACCTGAGCAATAATGCGGTTCAAATTAGTGTACGTTGGTCTGGCTAAGTCGAGTCTCGTTCGACATATATCATAGATGGCTTCGTTATCCATCATGAATGAACAATCAGAATGCTCTAGGGTTGTGTGAGTAGTTAGAATCGAGTTGTAAGGCTCCACCATAGATGTTGACACCTTAGAATTCCTCTTTTAAGTTTCTCTGAAAGTTCTTGTACCTGTGGAGCAGGATATATACAGAACTCCAGTTTGCTTTTCTTGCCATAATCAACCGACAGTCTCTCCATCAAGAGAGCTGTAAAACCTGATCCAGTACCCCCTCCGAACGAATGGAAAATGAGAAATCCCTGAACATTTAGATGTCTCTGTTATCAGCAACTTTTAAAAGATGCCTGAAGTCCTTTACAGTTCTCAACGAGTCGACGGACACGATCAATACAGACATCAATGATTTCCTTTCCAACAGTATAATGTCCTCGAGCATAATTGTTAGCAGCGTCTTCTTTGCCAGTGAGTAACTGTTCCGGATGGAAAAGTCCCTTGTATGTTCCAGTTCGAATCTCATCTGTAATTACAGAGAAATTAGCCGCTTAAAAAATGTTTATTTGCGTTCGGTTTAGTCCGACTAGCACAGCGTTCTCACGTTATCAAATAAGAGTGATTACGCAGCGTAGTTTACTTTCAAACGTTTGACGCGTACTTTATTCTAATTTAAGGCGGCAAATGGCACATTCAAAGGAGTTTGTTGTTGTTTCGAAACTTCTTGTTTGTCTGTGTATGTATAAACTTCGGTTAGCAGCTTATGCAATTGTCATTCATTGAAGAATGGATTTGGCAAATGACATATAACGTTTATTAGGCGCTTTGCATGAAGTTTTGAATAAGGAAAGCGGACATAATGACGACAAGATGTCTTAGAACCCATTATATGGCCGAGAAACATTTTAAGCGCAATCAAGAGAATACATTCATCTGCTCGCAAGCAATGAGTTGGAGAGGAAACAAGCAGGTGTATGAAGCAATTATATTTAATCGTCAGTTTCGGGGCTCTATTTTTCCTTTTTTTTCTTCTTCCCCAAAAAAAGGTTCCATGCATAAATAAGAATTGAACGTTACCTATAGGAGTCGGCTCCAGATCGATCATAATAGCCCGAGGAACATGCTTGCCAGATCGTGTTTCAGCGAAAAATGTGTTGAAAGAGTCATCTTCGATCCCTGAAAAGGAGCATTATTAATCTGGACTTTTTCTCTCCCCCCTCCCTAACCAACTCCTAAGCTAAGGAATTGATGGAAGTGTGATGCAATGCGACTTGAACTAATGGTTCATTTCATTTTTCAAACTTTGCACGTACTTTTCTCTGTCCCTCTCTTTCTCGTGCCTGTTATTGTTTTGAAAAAAATCGGAATCGAACACTCCTCTTCAATCTGCTATACGATCTTTGATAAGATACTCCCTTTATGTTTTATTTATTTCTCTGTCCAAAACTCATATGGCAGTTTTTGCTTTGTATGAGCCATCGTCTCGTAAGCATGTCTACGAAACATCTTTAGTACCGTTGAAAAACTGGTCGAGAGAGATAGGAGCGAACAATAACATACAGTGCATAAGAATAAGATGATATTGGAGAGTATATGGCACGATTTGCGCCAAAACACCTACCGATACTATCATCTTCAATCATGATGCCGTCGGGTTGAATGCCGTGTTCCAAGCAGTACAACTCCCAGCAAGCATTTCCCATCTGAACTCCTGCCTGACCGACATGGATCGAGATGACTTCTCTCTACAACAAGATTGTTTTAATCACTGCTTAACTAATCTCAGTCTTTATCTACTTTTTCGAAACGAGAATTTGAGTGTAAATTTGGTGATATCGAATCAAATCAAAAAGAAGAGAATTGACAACTGTTCATAGCGAAACATCGTTTCACCCCATTATCAAAGTTAGAACGAAACTTCAAACTTACGGATCGGTTGTTCACCATTCCTTTTAAGAGGATCACGAAGGTTATAACCTCTGATGTAAATGTGGATTAAGGAGGCGGAGTTTGTAGCAACCCAATCCTTCTGGCATCACTTAGAAAGCCGTTGTTTCCTGGTTACCAAAAGCCTTGAACACGAGCTTTAAACCGCTCAGATGAAAGGGGCTTATCAACGGATGAAGATGATCTTGGATAACATTTCTCACCCCAACTTTCGACATTCCGACTTTTTCAAAATCTACAGAAACCAATAACCCTATTTCATTCGCCAACTAGTTCACATAGCCTTTCATAAATTTGTAAGTTACGTAGTTTACTGAAAAGAATTGATTTTTATCTAACAACAAGTTCGAACAACACTAGGCAGGCAAATCAATATAATCACCAGAATGACAGAAGAACAGATGAGATCGTAACCTAGAGCTGTCCACAATCAGCGATCATACACTCAGCCGTTGGCTTTCCAGAATCAGTTCCGAAAGACTCGATCTTGGTGACAATATCCAATCCTTTAATAACTTTTCCGAAAACAACGTGCTTGCCATCGAGCCACGCAGTCTTGACGGTGCAGAGGAAGAACTGGGATCCGTTGGTGTTTGGTCCAGCGTTAGCCTGAACGATTAAAATGGTATCAAAGACTGTTCATACAATCAATACCATGGAGAGGATTCCTGGTCCAGTGTGACGTTCCTTGAAGTTCTCGTCTTTGAATTTCTCACCGTAGATGGATTCTCCTCCGGTTCCGTTTCCACGAGTGAAGTCACCTCCTTGGATCATGAAATCGGGGATGATGCGATGGAATTTGCTTCCCTTGTAGTGAAGAGGCTTTCCAGATGCTCCTTTTCCCTTCTCTCCGGTGCAAAGACAGCGGAAGTTCTCGGCCGTGTTTGGGACAATATCGTTGAAAAGCTATACAGAAAATATATTTCAAAAATCCATAGTAAGGAACACACCTCCATAACGATACGCCCGGCGGCTTTGCCACCGATTGTGATGTCAAAGAAGACTTGTGGTCGAACCATGTTAACTACTGAAACCACATCATAGAGAACAAGCTAGGTCATTCAAGAGAAGGACTATGATCAGATTAAGGCGATCATTGTTGATTTCATAAAGATGTAATAGAAAAAACATATAACGGCTCCTGTTATCCACTTTCCAAGCAGACCGCAGATGAATCAACCACTCTTCAGGTGACTACCGTCGGCTGTGATCCCAGGCGACAGACGCTAGGAAACCACAAGTGAACTACGCGCCGTTTCGAAAACTAACAGTTTGGGTCTCGAAGCGACGCGGAAAGTTTAAAATGAATTTCTTCTAACTCTTTGCATTACAAAGACATACAACGCCAAGTCGAGTTTGG